GATTCACAGGTCTCCTGACGGTAGGTAGCTGTCTGATTGTGGGGGCCATATTCCTAGCACACTCAAACCCTCCTGATCAGCCAGAAGTAGTAGTTAACCTAACACAAGTTGATAAAATAATACCTTAACACAGTCTATGAAGGCATAGGAGACAACTAGACGTAGGGGAAGGGGAAGTACTAGGGACTGTAGGGAAGGACATCACCATATGTATGTCACCATGTATATCCTGGGACTATGTAGTCGCTCATACCAAGCGGGGGGGATATGTCAATCTCCATACACAGTTTAAGGACAGGTGTAGTATTGTGAAAGTAGGGAATTACCAGAAATGGCAGTGCGACCCATATAAGGGTAGGTACTGTCTGAAAGTCTGAATTACGCTAAAACAGGTTACAGACCTGAACAAGTGAGATATCCTCTTCAACTGGGGCACCCTATATTGTAAACCTCTCTGAGGGAGGTAGTCAGACCGGGGCTGTGGTGAAGGAGTCTTGTAGTAACTTGCACTATCTGTATCCCCCGATAACAAAGTCACCCCGACCTAGGTTGCCTCCGTTTGAAGTCTCAGGGGATTCTTATTGTTTTTCTAGGACTAGTAAGATAGGATACAGGGTTGGGCATCTTAGCTCCTGCTCCCACACAGAGAATGTCACAACTAAAGAGACCATGACTAATCTCTCCTCTTTGTTGCAGCCAGAGGATTTTAGGAACCAAAACCAGGCCCGTGCTGACATCTGATGGTTGTGTGGTGATAACAGATTGTGAACTCACCTACATACGCAAACAATCAAACGTGTCAGAGATTGGTGAGTTGTCACGTAGAAAGTGGGACCTCCTCCCGGGATCCTTTGATGAAAGGATATATATTGATGGGATAGGAGTACCTCGAGGGGTTCCAGAAGAATTCAAAGCTAGGAATCAAATCGCAGCTGGGTTTGAATCAAGTCTTTTCTGGTGGTCAACAATTAATAAAAACGTAGATTGGATGAATTATATTTACTATAACCAGCAAAGATTTATAAACCACACTCGTGATGCAATAAAGGGATTAGCTGAGCAGACAGCGGCAACTAGCTTAATAGCATGGCAGAATAGAATAGCTTTAGATATGCTTTTGGCTGAGCGGGACAGGGTTTGTGTTCTGTTTGGATATATGTGCTGTACTTTCATCCTCAAACAATACAGCACCGGACGGGTCCGTGACCAAAGCGCTTCAGGGACTCACCACGCTGACGAACGAACTGGCTGAGAACTCTGGTATTGATAGCTCCCTAAACGGTTGGTTTGATAACATATTTGGTAAATGGAAAACTATTGTTGTAACTATTCTGGGTGAAGTTATAGCTTCTATGGGTATACTTGTTCTTTGTGGATGTTGTCTTATTCCCTGTGTCTGAGGGTTGGTGAGAAAGGAGATGGAGAAGGTGGTTTCCCAACAGATGGTGAGATACGGCCCAATCCCGGACTCCGACCTAAGGAATGAAACCAGGCTTGGTGGAGGATGACGACGATCCAGATAATTTGAGACTGGATGTTTTCCTAGAACTATAAATCTCTAGTTTAAAAGTTATTGTAATGATCTTTTGTGTATTAAAGTCTCATTTTAAGTATGATGTACTAGTTACCATTGTTAAAAAGTAACATTATGCTTTTAATCATGGGGTAACCCTGATGAACCTGTAATGTTTTTATATGCAAACCAACATATACTTCAATGAGTGAGATTCATTTCTATAACAACATATATTTTGTATGTGTGTAATATTTAGTCAAAGGGTGGAATTGATAGATTAATTATTAATGACTAATTATTACACCCTGAAACTGTGTATAATGTGTTAGAAATGTGTGAGTGTAGGACCAGTAAAGGCTATGGCATTGAGCCACTATTTAGCAATGTGAGTAAGAGTTAGGCCAGACAACAAAGACAACTGAGAAACTAAGATAAAGAGGCCTCCCAATTTAGGGAGGGGAGAAACTTATGAAAACATGGTGCATAATATTGTGAGAACGGCAATAACTGAGTAATGCAGGGAGTAGGATATGTGTGTGTGTGTGTGTGTGTGTGTACAGTGGGGGAAAAAAGTATTTAGTCAGCCACCAATTGTGCAAGTTCTCCCACTTAAAAAGATGAGAGGCCTGTAATTTTCATCATAGGTACACGTCAACTATGACAGACAAATTTAGAAAAAAAAATCCAGAATATCACATTGTAGGACTTTTAATGAATTTATTTGCAAATTGTGGTGAAAAATAAGTATTTGGTCACCTACAAACAAGCAAGATTTCTGGCTCTCACAGACCTGTAACTTCTTCTTTAAGAGGCTCCTCTGTCCTCCACTCTTTACCTGTATGAATGGCACCTGTTTGAACTTGTTATCAGTATAAAAGACACCTGTCCACAACCTCAAACAGTCACACTCCAAACTCCACTATGGCCAAGACCAAAGAGCTGTCAAAGGACACCAGAAACAAAATTGTAGACCTGCACCAGGCTGGGAAGACTGAATCTGCAATAGGTAAGCAGCTTGGTTTGAAGAAATCAACTGTGGGAGCAATTATTAGGAAATGGAAGACATACAAGACCACTGATAATCTCCCTCGATCTGGGGCTCCACGCAAGATTTCACACCGTGGGGTCAAAATGATCACAAGAACGGTGAGCAAAAATCCCAGAACCACACGGGGGGACCTAGTGAATGACCTGCAGAGAGCTGGGACCAAAGTAACAAAGCCTACCATCAGTAACACACTACGCCGCCAGGGAATCAAATCCTGCGGTGCCAGACGTGTCCCCCTGCTTAAGCCAGTACATGTCCAGGCCCGTCTGAAGTTTGCTAGAGTGCATTTGGATGATCCAGAAGAGGATTGGGAGAATGTCATATGGTCAGATGAAACCAAAATAGAACTTTTTGGTAAAAACTCAACTCGTCATGTTTGGAGGACAAAGAATGCTGAGTTGCATCCAAAGAACACCATACCTACTGTGAAGCATGGGGGTGGAAACATCATGCTTTGGGGCTGTTTTTCTGCAAAGGGACCAGGACGACTGATCCGTGTAAAGGAAAGAATGAATGGGGCCATGTATCATGAGATTTTGAGTGAAAACCTCCTTCCATCAGCAAGGGCATTGAAGATGAAACGTGGCTGGGTCTTTCAGCATGACAATGATCCCAAACACACCGCCCGGGCAATGAAGGAGTGGCTTCGTAAGAAGCATTTCAAGGTCCTGGAGTGGCCTAGCCAGTCTCCAGATCTCAACCCCATAGAAAATCTTTGGAGGGAGTTGAAAGTCTGTGTTGCCCAGCAACAGCCCCAGAACATCACTGCTCTAGAGGAGATCTGCATGGAGGAATGGGCCAAAATACCAGCAACAGTGTGTGAAAACCTTGTGAAGACTTACAGAAAACGTTTGACCTGTGTCATTGCCAACAAAGGGTATATAACAAAAGTATTGAGAAACTTTTGTTACTGACCAAATACTTATTTTCCACCATAATTTGCAAATAAATTCATGAAAAATCCTACAATGTGATTTTCTGGAAAAAAAATTCTCATTTTGTCTGTCATAGTTGACGTGTACCTATGATGAAAATTACAGGCCTCTCTCATCTTTTTAAGTGGGAGAACTTGCACAATTGGTGGCTGACTAAATACTTTTTTCCCCCACTGTATGTGTGTATGCATGTGTGTATATGGGTGTGTGTGTGTGAACTGAAGGTCAGTAGAGCAGTTTTAGAGTGGAAAACTACAGCCCGCCTACAGAGGGGAGGGATTTATTTTTGTATGACGTATGAGTATAAAAGATGGACTCTGAAATTGTGATGGCAGAATTCTCAATGAATAAATATCTCTGACTATGCAGACCGGGACTCTGGCCGTTACTTAAATCCCAAAAGACTTACAACCTTTTGGGAGACGCACAGAGACACTAAAATAGTTTGTTAAATAATTCACATAACACTAGGTCCAAAAGACTTCTCAACAGCTTCTACCCCCAAGCCATAAGACTCCTGAACAGCTAATCATGGCTACCCGGACTATTTGCACTGCCCCCCCACCCCATCTTTTTACGCTGCTGCTACTCTGTTAACTATTTATGCATAGTCACTTTAACTCTACCCACATGTACATATTACTTCAACTACCTCAACTAGCCGGTGCCCCCGCACATTGACTCTGCACCGGTACCCCCCTGTATATATAGTCTCCCTACTGTTATTTTATTTTACTTCTGCTCTTTTTTTCTCAACACTTTTTTGTTGTTGTTTTATTTTACTTTTTTATTAAAATATAAATGCATTGTTGGTTAAGGGCTGTAAGTAAGCATTTCACTGTAATGTCTGCACCTGTTGTATTTGGCGCATGTGGCCAATACAATTTGATTTGATTGCTATGATCCCTTATTGATGCCACTTGTTAAATCTACTTCAATCAGTGTAGATGAAGGGGAGGAGACAGGTTAAAGAAGGATTTTTAAGCCTTGAGACATGGATTGTGTACGTGTGCCATTCAGAGGGTGAATGGGCCAGACAAAAGATTTAAGTGCCTTTGAACGGGGTATGGTAGTAGGTGCTAGGCGCATCGGTGCTGGGTTTTTCACACTCAACAGTTTCCCGTGTGTATCAAGAATGGTTCACCACCCAAAGGACATCCAGCCAACTTGACACAACTGTGGGAAGCATTGGAGTCAACATGGGCCAGCATCCCTGTGGAACGCTTGACACCTTGTAGAGTCTGTTGAGGGCAAAAGGGGGGGATCTCAATATTAGGAAGGCGTTCCTAATGTTTTGTACACACTACACAACTCACCATAAACTAGCTATTGCACATGACAGAGAAGCTTAGAGCATTAAGGTCAACATATAGCAACTAGCAAGTAAATAATACCAAAAGCCACAACTAAATACATTCTAATACAAGAACAAAAGCATTTCCATCTGTTTCTAACCTTGTTATTGCAATATTAATCTGTATTTCTAGACACTCAAATCACACAGGAAGTATATCACTGAGTAAAGGATATGAATGCTGTCATGACCCCGGTGGCCACCCCCAGGGCGAAGGATCCACTGAAGACACCCAGGAACACCCCGAAGGACTTCAACATGGCCATCACCTCAAAGGTGTGACTGTTGTCCCCCTCCGGCTGGTACGCCACGATAGACCTGGTACATAAACACACACAGTCAATATCAGAAAAGGCGCAACATAATAGAATAGTTCAGGCGGCCTATGTGGATGGATGAAGGGTTATAAGGCTGGAAATGGAAATGAAATACCGGTATGTACTGTAGCATTTCTGGGGACTAGAAATTAATGTGCTTTGCTTGCAGAATACTTGAAGAAAACATTGATAATAGGTACAATTACAGAACTAGAGAGCTGCTTTACAATGTGCTTCCATCCTGAGAAGGTTGAAAGTCTTGAATAGTCTGTAACCCATTGATATCAGAACCAAGGTATGGTATATTCCTACAGACCAGGGGAGGCCTTAATCCTACTGGTGCCCATAACTGATAATCAGAATGATCCTAGTGGCCCAAGACTACACTGTATAGTAATAGTACTACCGTTTGCATGCCCGGTCTGTTTGAAGTGCAGCTGGATCTCTTAGGCAAATACTTTGTGGCTCGCTTTCATAGCTTCCTATGGAAATCATTAAGAAATGATGAGATTGTACTACAATGTGTAAATATTTGTGTATGGACATCTGCTAGTAGGTACTGTACGTGAAATGATACCATTCTCTTAGTAGCAATGTTCTACACTAGAGGGTTCTATGGGAATTCTTGCTACCAAGTTAGATACATCTTCAGGTATTCTAGCTACCAAGTTAGATACATCTTCAGGTATCTATCCTTAAGAACTTTGGCAGAAACACTTCAACAGCTTTCCATTCAATTCAAACTGGAGGAACTATTAGGCCTAGATTTTTAAACTCGTAAATATGGGGAACCACTCGTGAAAGATTAGCTGAAGCTTGGAATTTGTGATGTTAGATAACATGGCAAAATCCAAATTCCAATAAATCCAAATTCTTTATACAATTCTGGCTCATGAGGCAGCAAAATAAATCCATGTAAAACGTATCAAATACGAGGGGTATTAGTTTTCGTACTATTTCCTGTAACAATTCTCTATGCATAACAACTACATTACAAGTCCAACATGGTGGAGAGAAAAAGCAGTAAGTGAGAGAGCAGTTTGACAGGGAAGAATAAGGGAGGAGGGGTATAGGGGTTAGAGCAGTGAGAGAGCAGTTTGACAGGGAAGAATAAGGGAGGAGGGGTATAGGGGTTAGAGCAGTGAGAGAACAGTTTGACAGGGAAGAATAAGGGAGGAGGGGTATAGGGGTTAGAGCCGAGCAGCAGGACCATGCAAATTAGGGACGTAACCAGTGGGGGCTGCTGAGGGGAGGACGGCTCATAATAATGGCTGGAATGGCATCAACCACATGGAAACCACTTGTTTGAGGTGTTTGATACCATTCCATTGACTCCATTACAGCCATTATTATGAGCCGTCCTACCCTCGGCATCTTCCACTGGACGTAACAACAAACTCCTATCACCCAAACAGCAAATCACCAGGATTCCACACCACCAGAACCGGGTTGTAGTTTGAATTGGTGCCCCATAATCTTCCCTAATGCATACCTCTGGATTTAATATGGGCTCAATACTCCATTTGTAGGTTATGCAAACACCTGACAAACTTTGATTTGAGTGAACTATCCCTTTGCGGGTTGTACTTGTGCTGTGGTTCATATGTGCTATCTGGGGTGTAATGGCTGGTCATTTGCTGTGCATGTTCTGACGATGCAAAAAGAAGCCACTGCAAAAGCACTCTGAGCTAGCACACCCGTTCAGGGGAGTGTCTCGCATCGCTGCCACGCCCTCTACCCACTGATTGGGTGATTGGCTCCAGGGGCGTGCCAACCATAACACATTCGAATTCTGAAATAATCAAAGCGTTCCCGGCAGAGGGAAGGTAGTGGTTAGGGTTACCAAAGGGTCAGTCTCACACATTCTACAGTATTAATAATAGGCTTGTTATTGGTTTAGTGCCAGGTCACACACAGGACAATCAATACCAAAAAGTTGTTTGAGGGTGTCTGTGTGTGCATGTCTATGAGCCTGTGTGGGTGTGTTGGCCAAACGCCCCCTTATCCTGCCTAAATTATTTAAAAAACAGTTCCAAAGCACATCTGTTAGAAGATAAGATGAGGTTTGTCAGCCAAAGCTTCACAACAATGGATCGCAAAGACAAAACTTCACAATGTGAGTGTGTACAGACAGACGGTAGACAGGTGGGTCAGGTTAAAACGGAGGACTCACGAGGACAGCACCACGGCCACAGCGTCGTTGAGAACGCTCTCTCCAAACAGCAGAACGTACAGATCCACGTCCACCTGCAGCTCGTTGAAAATGGCCAGCACCGTCACTGCAGGCCAGGAGACACAGTAACCCACTTTAGACTGTCTTCAGAATGGCACAATGACATGCAGATGGACCCACAAGACTGCATCCTAGAATGTAAGACTGGCAACATTCTACTAGAATGAACCTGCAAATTGAGCCATATGGGTTAGAAAGTGTTGGTGGTGTGTGCAGTCATAACATTTAGTACAACATCAGTGTATGCTATATTCCACAACTCACATTACTCCAATCACTGAAATAATTAGCGGCAGTGCATGTATTTGCAGATTTGTGAATCAGGAAAACCCCCTTTGAATGACAATGTGTGCAGTTACTACTGAAGCGAGCGGTTAACCATTACAGCGTGACCCATTATGTAGTGTACTAAAGAGGTGACTGAGGCGAACGGGGTCCGTACCGGGGTCAGTAGCAGAGACAATGGCTCCAAACAACAGACAGTCAGTGAAGAAGAAGTCCCCCTCAAGCTGTCCCACCTGCTTCATCAGCGTGACACAGCCGTACATCAACAACCTGTACAGAGGTACAGATCATATTACTTCAGCTGAGCATTTCTCTGACAGGTCACACAAAGAACTAAAGGTGAATAAACACACATAGATGTAATGCATACATGTATAATACAGGGTATAAACTCACCCAATGATGAAACATGATATGACTGTCCCCAGAAAGGCGTAAGCCAGGATGGACCCCATGTTCCTGAAGAAGTGCCTCTGGGAGATAGAGTTACATGAAGGATTTGGCCTAAATATTACCCAAGAACAAATCAACACTGTGATGTAACTATTGTTTAAAGCTGCAATATGTAACTTTTTGGGCGACCCGACCAAATTCACATAGAAATGTGTGTTATAGATCTGTCATTCTCATTGAAAGCAAGTCTAAGAAGCGGTAGATCTGTTCTATGTGCACTATTTCTATGCTTCCTGTATTTAAGTTTCGTTTTTGCATCTTTTCCTTTCGGTTTTGTACACAAGCTTCAAACAGCTGAAAATACAATATATGTGGTTATGGAAAATATATTTCACAGGGGTTTAGATGGTACAATGATTATCTACACTATACTTGCTTGTTTAGTCACAAACTGAAATTAGGCTAACTATTAGGATTTTAACAACCAGGAAATGGTGGAGCGATTTCTGCATAGTGCATCTTTAAACAACTAACTACATGTCTTACCCTCTTCAGACTGTAGCCGGCATGGAAGATGATGGGGGGCAGGAGGATGTTAAAGAACACTTCGGGGTCAAAGGTCACCTATAGAAAAGAGGAAAAACACCAGAGGGATTGTATTACATGACTGAACTGTAGTGTCCCACTGACTATGGAGGACTCCAACTAATAAAACCTGTTATTATTAGTTAGAACCTAATTATAACTACCTGTAATAATAACTAACGAGGGTCCTAAATCCCTTTTCAATTGTGTTGATGGATGAAAATAGCGCTAGTTGCTATGTTTGTTAATCTAATGTCCTACGGTTAGGCCTAGTTCTGATCAAGCCTCTTTAGGTTGGCATCAACTCTAAATCCTAAATGGAATCAAGGAAAGTTTTTTTTTCTCTGATCAGGTGGTACAACGTTTGCATAGAACAGAGCTGAATAGTGCTCTGTAGGCTACCACAGGACATGACTGATTACATACGTTACGCACTGAGTTTGATACAGTCTCATGAGTGCGTGTCTGTGTCTGAGACAGTGAGTAAGTGTGGAAAATGGCTCAGGAAAGATAGAGAATGAAATATGTCAACAAAGGCAACCAACTTGCCTGATTTGTGCTAAGCCTCCCAAATAGCACTTCAGATATAAAGAAACACTTTCAGACAACAACCATGCCATCTGTAAGCATCCACTGTTATGGTCAGTCAAACCATTTATGTACATCACATTAACAAGGACCACATCTGTTTGGGACTTTACCTTGCGAAGCATCTCGTTGTCCTGTACGTCATTGATCTCAGAGGCGCTGATCTCGCCCTTCAGACTGTACTCGTAGAACTTGCCACTGACGTTGACGAGCAGTGTGGGCGGGCTGGCGTTGACATGGCAACTGAGGGTGACGTTACTAATGTCACGGGGTACGTGGATACCATAGCGCAGGACCACCCCAACCAGCACACCTGGAGGGAGAGAGTGGGAACAGAGGGAATGAAATTGGGTGAACAAACACTGAATTGCACCTATGAAAGCCCCTTCAGTACATAATAATAATAATAATAATAATAATATACATGCCACAAGGCAACCCCTGCTAACTGGGTCCACAGTTGTCCTCTCTGCCCTTCAAGCTGGTACAGCAGCACCTTATGAATTGTAAATAAATAACCAGGAAACAGGCTTCAGTGAAGTGCATGGAGTGTAGTAGAGAGCACTATACTAAACTACAGTAAAATACTATGAAGCAAGTTGGACCTTCCTGGGTGTATGATACAGAACGGTATGGGTTTAGTGCATGCACACAGTCGCATAACTGATAAGACATGAATATTGTTTCCCAACACCAAAAGCAGAGATCTACACTGAACAAAAATATAAACGCAACAGGTAAAGTCTGAAATAAAAGATCCCAGAAATTTTCCATACGCACAAAAAGCTTATTTCTCTCAAATGTTGTGCACAAATTTGTTTACATCCCTGTTAGTGAGCATTTCTCCTTTGCCAAGATAATCAATCCACCTGACAGGTGTGGCATATCAAGATGCTGATTAAAAAGCATGATCATTACACAGGTGCACCTTGTGCTGGGGACAATAAAATTGTGCAATTGTGTCACACAACACCATGCCACAGATGTCTCAAATTGGCATGCTGACTGCAGGAATGTCTCCAGGGCTGTTGCCAGAGAATTGAATGTTCATTCCTCTACCATAAGCCGCCTCCAATGTCATTTTAGAGAATTTGGCAGTACATCCAACTGGCCTCACAACCGCAGACCACGTGTAACCACACCAGCCCAGAACCTCCACAACCGGCTTCTTCACCTGTGGGATCATCTGAAACCATCCACCCGGAAAGCTGATGAAACTGTGGGTTTACACAATTGAAGAATTTCTGCGTAAACTGTGTGAAACAGTCTTAGGAAAGCTCATCTGCGTGCTCGTCGTCCTCATCAGGGTCTTGACCTGACTGCAGTTCGGCGTCATAACCGAATTCAGTGGGCAAAAGCTCACATTCGTGGCCACTGGCATGCTGGAGAAGTGTGCTCTTCACGGATGAATCCCGGTTTCAACTGTACCGGGCAGATGGCAGACAAGTGTATGGCGTCGTGTGGGCAAGAGGTTTGCTGATGTCAACGTTGTGAACAGAGTGCCCCATGGAGGCGGTGTGGTTATGGTATGAGCAGGCATAAGCTATGGACAACGAACACAATTGCATTTTATCGATGGCAATTTGAATGCACAGAGATACCATGACGAGATCCTGAGGCCCATTGTCGTGCCATTCATTCGCCGCCATCACCTTATGTTTCAGCATGATAATGCCTGGCCACATGTCGCAAGGATCTGTACACAATTCCTGGAAGCTGAACATGTCCCAGTTCTTTCATGGCCTGCATAATCACCAGACATGCCACCCATTGAGAATGTTTGGGTTGCTCTGGATCGACGTGTACGACAGCGTGTTCCAGTTCACGCCAATATCCAACAACTTCGCACAGCCATTGAAGATGAGTGGGACAACATTCCACAGGCCACAATCAACAGCCTGATCAACTCTACGCGAACAGGATGTGTCACGCTGCATGAGGCAAATGGTGGTCACACAAGATACTGACTGGTTTTCTGATCCATGCCTCTACCCTTTTCTTTTTTTAAGGTATCTGTGACCAACAGATATCTTTATTCCCAGTCATGTGAAATCCATAGATTAGGGCCTAATGAATTGATTTAAATTGACCGATTTCCTTCTATGAACCGTAACTCAGTCAAATCTTTGACATTGTTGCATTTATATTGTTGTTCAGTATAACATAGTGATACAGTCATTCTATGCCTCACATAGGCCTTGGCCTTATGTTGTCTCTACAGCATCCCTATAGGAATGACAACACTGTCAGCAGATTTCCAGGTAATGTTAAAGGGATACTGTGAGATTCTGTAATCATTTAATTTAGTCCTTGTTCTACTTACCCAGAGTCAGATGAACTCGTGGATACCATTTTTTTTATGTCTCTGCGTGCAGTATGAAGGAAGTTAGCGGTAGTTTCGCGAGCCAATGCTAACTAACGTTAGCGCAATGACTGGAAGTCTACAGGTACAGTAGAAATGCTACATAAACATGCAATTACCTGTATAGCTAGCTACACCTGTATAGCTAGCTACATAAACAGTATGACGATGAGTAATAACAATATCAATGACATCATGCAGTCTCCTGACATGGGCCTCTCACCCATACTCACCATAGATCATAGCTAGTCCTGTTTCATGCAAAAACCTGAAACGACGGTGCTTGAATAACCATATTGTTAAAATCGTGAGGGTTAGGAGCATGATGAAAATCAGCAGGTCGGCACTGTCTTGTCTGTGGTTATCTTCAACCTTCCTCTCTGTTACGATGTTCTCCATGGCACTATCCTCTGCCCTGCAAACACTGATGCAGAACGACAAACAAGCTAGAACGGTCAAGGCTAACGTCTTTGACATCTTCCGAGTAGCGTTGACTCTGAATTTATTGTAACCCATGTTGAACATTCAATCTTCAAGATAGTAGCTACGTCGTCGTTATTCGAGGTTTCTAGATTGATATTTCATGCAAGCTAACTAAGCGGAGACAACAACAGTATATGGATGGTTCACTTCTTCATCGGTGGGGTTTATCGGCGGGTTGCATCCAACGTTATGGTGCATTACCGCCACCTACTGTACTAGAGTGTGGGCCAGAGACAGGGAGAAACAAACCCCGTTGCTTTTAAAAAAGATAACAAAATATTTGAGACTATATCTAATGAAGTTCTACTCAATATACTCTTCAACTAATTTCCTGTATCCCCTTCTCATACTAGATCTCATCCTCTCTCTTTCCCTCTGATACTGCCCACACTGTAGCAATACATGCTCCACAGTCTCTGTTTCCTGGCAATAATCCCACTTTCCTGTTGGATGCTTTCCCACCCTTAATCTTGTAAAAAATAGCCTCCTCTCTTCTTTCCCTTCCTGCCGATGTTTGCTTCCGGAAGGGAAAGTGTTTTTTGTCTCCCTGTTGCATTTTTTTTGGTTCAAATTAAAAGTCCTTTCGGATGATAAAATAAAATATGATAATGCTGTTTTAAAAAAACCATTTATTTAACCTTTATTTAACCAGGTAAACCAGTTGAGAACAAGTTCTCATTTACAACTGCGACCTGGCCAAAGATAAAGCAAAGCAGTGCGATAAAAACAACAACACAGTTACACATGGGATAAAACAAAACATACTGTCAATAACAGTAGAAAATCTATATACACTGTGTGCAAATGTAGTAAGTTATGAAGGCAATAAATAGGCCATAGTGCAAAATAATTACAATTTAGTATTAACACTGGAATGATAGATGTGCAGAAGATAATGTGCAAATAGAGATACTGGGGTGCAAACGTGCAAAATAAATAACAATATGGGGATGAGGTAGTTGGGTGGGCTAATTACAGATGGGCTGTGTACAGGTGCAGTGATCGGTAAACTGCTCTGACAACTGATGCTTAAAGTTAGTGAGGGAGATAAGAGTCTCCAGCTTCAGAGATTTCTGCAGTTCGTTCCAGTCATTAGCAGCAGAGAACTGGAAGGAATGGCGGCCAAAGGAGGTGTTGGCTTTGGGGATGACCAGTGAGATATACCTGCTGGGGCGCATACTATGGGTGGGTGTTGCTATGGTGACCAATGAGCTAAAATAAGGCGGGGATTTGACTAGCAGTGATTTATAGATGACCTGGAGCCAGTGGGTTTGGCGACGAATATGTAGTGAGGGCCAGCCAACGAGATCGTACAGGTCACAATGGTGGGTAGTATATGGGGCTTTGGTGACAAAACGGATAGCACTGTGATAGACTACATCCAATTTGCTGAGTAGAGTGTTGGAGGCTATTTTGTAAATGACATCGCCGAAGTCAAGGATCGGTAGGATAGTCAGTTGTTGTTTGGCAGCATGAGTGAAGGAGGCTTTGTTGCGAAATAGGAAGCCGATTCTAGATTTAATTTTGATTGGAGATGCTTAATGTGAGTCTGGAAGGAGAGTTTACGGTCTAACCAGACACCTAGGTATTTGTAGTTGTCCACATATTCTAAGTCAGACCCGCCGAGAGTAGTGATTCTAGTCGGGCAGGCGGGTGCAAGCAGCATTCGATTGAAGAGCATGCATTTAGTTTTACTAGCGTTTAAGAGCAGTTGGAGGCTACGGGAGGAGTGTTGTATGGCATTGAAGCTCGTTTGGAGGTTTGTTAACACAGTGTCCAATGAAGGGCCAGATCAAATCAAATCAAATCACATTTTATTGGCCACATGCGCCGAATACAACAGCTGCAGACATTACAGTGAAATGCTTACTTACAGCCCTTAACCAACAGTGCACTTATTTTTTATAAAAAAGTAAAATAAAACAACAACAAAAAAGTGTTGAGAAAAAAAGAGCAGAACGAAAATAAAATAACAGTAGGGAGGCTATATATACAGGGGGGTACCGGTACAGATGTATACAAAATGGTGTCGTCTGCATAGAGGTGGATCTGAGAGTCACCAGCAGCAAGAGCGACATCATTGATATACACAGAGAATAGAGTCGGCCCGAGAATTGAACCCTGTGGCACCCCCATAGAGACTGCCAGAGGTCCAGACAACAGGCCCTCCGATTTGACACATTGAACTCTATCTGAGAAGTAGTTGGTGAACCAGGCGAGGCAGTCATTTGAGAAACCAAGGCTATTTAGTCTGCCAATAAAAATGCGGTGATTGACAGAGTCGAAAGCCTTGGCCAGGTCGATGAAGACAGCTGCACAGTACTGTCTTTTATCGATCGCGGTTATAATATCGTTTAGGACCTTTAGCGTGGCTGAGGTGCACCCATGACCAGCTCGGAAACCAGATTGCATAGCGGAGAAGGTACGGTGGGATTCGAAATGGACGGTGATCTGTTTGTTAACTTGGCTTTCAAATACTTTCGAAAGGCAGGGCAGGATGGATATAGGTCTGTAACAGTTTGGATCTAGAGTGTCACCCCCTTTGAAGAGGGGGATGACCGCGGCAGCTTTCTAATCTCTGGGGATCTCAGAGAATACGAAAGAGAGGTTGAACAGGCTAGTAATAGGGGTTGCTACAATTTCGGCGGCTAATTTGAGAAAGAAAGGGTCCAGATTGTCTAGCCCAGCTGATTTGTAAGGGTCCAGATTTTGCACCTCTTTCAGAACATCAGCTATCTGAATTTGTGTGAAGGAGAAGCGGGGGGGGGGGGGGGGGGCAAGTTGCAGCAGAGGGTGCAGAGCTGGTGGCCGGGGTAGGGGTAGCCAGGTGGAAAGCATGGCCAGCCGTAGCAAAATGCTTATTGAAATTCTTGATTATTGTAGATTTATCGGTGGTGACAGTGTTTCCTAGCCTCAGTGCAGTGGGCAGCTGGGAGGAGGTGCTCTTATTCTCCATGGACTTTACAGTGTCCCAAAACTTTTTGGAGTTAGTGCTACAGGAAGCAAATTTCTGTTTGAAAAATTATGTTTTTGTGCTGGTCAAGGGCAGTCAAGTCTGGGGTGAACCAGGGGCTGTATCTGTTCTTAGTTCAGAATTTTTTGAATTGGGCATGCTTATTTAAGATGGAGAGGAAAGCACTTTTAAAGAACCAGGCATCCTCTACTGACGGAATGAGGTCAATATCCATCCAAGATACCTGGGCCAGGTCAATTAGAAAGGCCTGCTCGCTGAAGTGTTTTAGGGAGCGTTTGACAGTGATGAGGGGTGGTCGTTTGACCGCAGACCCATTACGGACGCAGGCAATGAGGCAGTGATCGCTGAGATCCTGGTTGAAGACAGCGGAGGTGTATTTAGAGGGTAAATTAGTCAGGATGATATCTATGAGGGTGCCCATGTTTACGGATTTAGGGTTGTACCTGGTAGGTTCCTTGATAATTTGTGTGAGATTGAGGGCATCTAGTTTAGATTGTAGGACGGCTGGGGTGTTAAGCATATCCCAGTTTAGGTCACCAAGCAGTACGAACTCTGAGGATAGATGGGGGGCAATCAATTCACATATGGTGTCAAGGGCACAGCTGGGGGCTGAGGGGGGTCTGTAGCAACGGCAACAGTGATAGACTTATTTCTGGAGAGGTGGATTTTTAGAATTAGAAGCTCAAACTGTTTGGGCACAGACCTGGATAGTATGATAGAGCTGCTAATTGTATGTGCCCATATTGGTGATTAATGTGTCAAACTATATATATATATTTGTATATCTTATTATTAACTCTTGAGATATAGTTTTTCTGGTCAGAACTCTTATGAAGTTTGCTTTGGATTTTGACCAGGAAGTCAAAGAAAGACGTCACTCTAGTACGGTCTTTACTAATTACCACAGCCACAAAGTCATAAGCCCCGCAAATTTCTAAAATGTATCTTCTTAAAATAAAAATACGATCTTAACCCTAACCTTAACCACACTTCTAACTTTATGCCTAACCCTAACCTTAAATTAAGATCAAAAAGCAAATTTTAGTTTTTATGAATTTTTACGACATAGACAATTTGGACTTTGTGGGTGTGGTAACAAGTGGAAACCCTCTAGATCAGGGTTCTTCAATTCCGGTCCTGGAGGGCCGAAACATCTCTGTTTTTCATTCTCTCCTTCTAATCAGGGGCTAATTCAGATCTGGGACACCAGGTGAGTGCAATTAACTACCAGGTAGAAATAAAAAACAGAAGTGTTTCGGCCCTCCAGGACCGGAATTGAAGAACCCTGCTCTAGATGGTCATCCCGAATCTTTTCAGTGAGCCGGCTCATTTGGCTCCGTTCATCTAAAAGAGCCGTTGATTTGGCTCCCAAACGGCTCTTTGTTAAGTAGCGCTTCCAAAATTTAGCAAAACCATGAAAAAATAGCTAATCTAATGCAAAGCCTACAAAGTTGCCTATCATTATGTCAGAGCGTGACATGTGAGCTCAAATACATTTTTACCTGACCAAATTGTTAGATGGCCTGGCCAAAAAATGAAGGGAAAGAAATTACGCACTACAAAAATGTGTGCGGACCAGAAAAAGGCTCACTCGTCACTATATCAAATCAAATCACATGAGCCAAATAAATTGTAGAGTTTACCCTGAAATGCTTACTTACGAGTCCTTTCCCAACAATGCAATAAAAAATTAGGACATTAACAAATAGATACATTGAAAATAGTAACACAATAAAATAACACAATAAAATAACAATAACAAGGCTATATATAGGCTACATACAAGGAGTAGGGGTACCTAGTCAGTGTACTGGGGTACGAGGTAGTTGGGGTGATTGATTTAGGTAATATGCACATGTAGGTTTGGTAAAAATGTATGCACTCACTAACTGTAAAGTCGCTCTGGGTAAGAGCATCTGCTAAATGACTAAAATGTAAATGTAAAATGTTAAGTGATTGATTGATTTAAGTACTATGTACATGTAGGTAGGGGGTGAAAAGCAGAAAGTCCCGGTAGCCGTATAATTAACTGTTCAGCAGACTTATGGCTTTGGGGTAGAAGCTGTTCAGGAGCCTTTTGGTCCCATACTTGGCACTCTGGTACCGCTTGCTGTGTGGTAGCAGCTAGAACAGACTGTGACTTGGGTGGCTGGAGTATTTACCATTTTTAGGGCCTTCCTCTGACACCGCCTGATATAGAGGTCCTGCATGGCAGGGAGCTCGGCCCCAGTGATGTACTGGGCCGTACGCACTACTCTCTGTAGCACCTTGCGGTCGGATGCCAAGCAGTTGCCATGCCAAGCGGTGATGCAGCCAGTCAGGATGCTCTTAATGGTGCAGCTGTAGAACGTTTTGAGGATCTGAGGGCCCATGCCAAATCTTTTCAGCCTCCTGGGGGAAAAGAGGCGTTGTTGTGCCCTCTTCACAACTGTGTTGGTGTGTTTGGACCATGATAGGTCCTTAGTGATAGGTCCCGAGGAACTTGAAGCTTTCGACCTTCTCCACTGTAGCCCCGTCGATGTGAATGGGGGCGTGTTTGGCCCTCTGTTTCCTGCAGTCCACGATCAGCTCCTTTATCTTGTTGGCATTGAGGGAGAGGTTGTTGTCCTGGCACCACACTGCCAGGTCTCTGACCTCCTCCCTGTAGGCTGTCTCATCGTCGTTGGTGATCAGGCCTACTACCGTCATGTCATCAGCAAACTTAATGATGGTGCTGGAGTCATGTGCGGCCACGCAGTCTTGGGTAAACAAGGAGTACAGGAGGTGGCTAAGCACGCACCCCTGAGGGGCCCCCGTGTTGAGGGTCAGCGTGGCAGATATGTTGTTGCCTAGCCTCACCACCTGGGGGCGGCCCATCAGAAAGTCCAGTATCCATTTGCAGAGGGAGGTGTTTAATCCCAGGGTCCTTAGTTTAGTGATGAGCTTGGAGGGCACTATGTTGTTGAACGCTGAGCTGTAGTCAATGAACAGCATTCTCACATGGGTGTTCCTTTTGTCCAGGTGGGATAGAGCAGTGTGGAGTGCAATAGAGATTGTGTCATCTGTGGATCTGTTGGGGCGGAATGCGAATGAGTGGGTCCAGGGTGACGCAAAATGGTACGCAGCATCATCTGGATATGTGTGCAACAAAAGTTCAACATTCACCTTCTGCTACCATCAGGGGCGGTGTGTTCATTAGGGCGATATGGGCGACGCACTGCCAAACGGGAAAAGGAAGGGATTTTTTTTCTAATCAATTATATCACGGCAACAGTAGTTATCAGTGTTCTAATCTAGACGTCTGATCTGCCACTAAATGTCCAATCAGGCTAAAGTCGTGCTTCAAATGTCCCCGCCCGTTTTGGGGCGATTTCAGTCAGGTTGAAAATCGCCCAGAAGTCTCTCATAGCCTCTAATGTAAAATCAATTTTTTTCAAATATCAGAGCTTTCAATACAATCTCTATGGGTTTCTGAGGGCTTGCACTTACGCGCTTTCGTCATACGTAACATAACCATGAACGTAACTAAGAAAAGAGCGGGTAGCCTCATCAATCAATTCACTACTACTGTCAAAATGGCTAGCCTTCAGTGCAACTCGATTGTCTCTTTGAAAGAAGTTCCTTTTTGTCGGCGAACAAATCAAGATAAATTGGCAACGAAACAATTAGGACCTCCCAGACCAAATTTAATAATTCAACAGGTTTCTACTAAGCAGAGTCGTGAACACTGTCTACGAGAATCGAGACGACCTCATAGAATGTTTTGAAGCCATTCGGACGGGTTCATTGGGTTCATTTGACCAGCCCACCGTGAGAGAGGCATCTGGCTACGTGAGGATGCTACATGATGAAGATTTTATTTTTTTCCTGCGGCTTTTTCACAAAATCATGCCCCACGTCGACATTCTGTACCAGAAGCTACAGAAGAAGGACATCGATGCTGTCTTTATCAAACGTGCCCTCGACAGCTTCACAAGCAGTGTGCAGGCCATAAGGTAAGATTAAACAATATCATTCGATCTTTCTCAAAGCAGAGCTTTATTTGAAAATGTATGCATGAAAGGAGACTGCATTTGTGTTTGAAATTACATTATTCTCATTATATATGGCCAGTGGTGTAATCTAGCTTATTTTATATACTATGTGTACTGTACAGTGGTGCTCATAAGTGTATGAACACATTCTAAAGTTGACTAAAAAGAGGAATACAAAAATTAAAAAAATCATCTTTTGGAAATTGATCTTAATGACTTAATTTAAAAAGTTGGAAAATCCAACCTTTAAGGACACCAATTTTATTTTATTTTTTATTCCTCTTTTTAGTCAACTTTAGCATGGGATCATAAGCTTATGAGCACCACTGTATACTGTGCTGAACATCCAGGCTATGTGAGACACAAAGGCTAACTTAAACACTAAAGACTTTATGCATCCCTGCCCATTTTAAGTGGAACTGAAGTATTTGTACTATACATGGATACATTGCATATACCTGTGCATCACATAGACAACAGTACTGTACAAAGCCAACAAACACATTGGTCTGTTTGCCTTCAGGGACTCCTCTCAACAGCAGCTGCAAGAAGCAACAGGAGCCAAAAGACCCAGAACAGCTTTGAGAGAAGAGGAGAAGCAGAGGCTGTCTGAAGAGGTCTGCAACACCATCCTGGATCACACCAAAGAAAGGTTCTCTTTCTCTGGCCACCTTGTGAGTGCTACCTTACTGCAAGCAGACATGTTTGAAAGGTACTGCCATTCATTTCCTGATGAGGCTCTGAATGCCACTGTGAATGCATACCCCATGCTGAGCAAGGCAAAGCTCAAGACAGAACTATCTCTGATCTATGAGAATCCTGAATTCAAGGGATGCTGTGGTGCACTGGCACTGTACCAGGTTCTCATGAGCTACAACCTCCAGGAGACGTTCTCTGAGACTGTGACTCTGTTGAACATCCTCATAACTACTCCCATGACAACAGCTGAAGCTGAGAGATGTTTCTCAACTTTGACACGAGTTAAGACATTCCTGCGAAATTCAATGGGCCAGGAACGTCTGAATGCACTGGCCATGCTTTCCATGGAGAGGGAACTAGTCCTCAGCATGCCTGATTTCAATGAGAAAGTCATTGAACGCTTTGCTGTATTGAAACAGAGAAGAGAACAGTTTCAGTACAAGTAATGTAGCCTCTCTCTCTCTTTGTCCCTCCCTGTCTGTCTCTTTAACACACACACGCCCAAATCAGTTCACAGTTGATGTTGTTTAAAATAGTTATTTTTCATTTTAAAAAAAGTTTTTAAAAAAATAATCTGTTCATGTTCATTTTTACAAATCTATACAATTGGCCAGAATATGGTTGTTCATATTTACAAATCTATACAATTGGCCAGAATATGGTTGTTCATTTTTACAAAGCCATACAGATAGCTGTGTTTACCTTTTCTAGAAATTACTTTCAAATTCTGTTTTCAGGCAAAATGTCTATCACTGTTCATTTTCACAAATCTATACAAGAGGGCAGAATATGGAAGTCTATAAAAATGTCTTATTACCAATAACTTGCATCAATGTTTTCAGTAGCCTCTATCAAAAGCTCCTGCTTGCTTGTTGTGAATTATGCTCAGGTGCACATATTTCCAATTCAACCATGAGGCAAAAAATGTGGTAAAAGCTCTTGTTGATCCTGCAATCTGAACAAATACCAAGATGCTGTATTTTCAGCTGATATTTCATTTGTTTATGGAAATGCATATTGTTTATGCAGTGTTGAGGAATGTGAAAGAACACCCTTGATTATTTTTACTGTGATAACTTATTTTGATTTTGTAAGCCAACACTTTTGAGATCAGTCAATAAATGCTTCTGGTATTGACTTATATGCTGCCCCTGTCTTCATGTTGTTGCTGGACATATCTTTTTAAAAATGTGTGTAGGTCACCTAAATCATCAGAAAAATTGCCCCCCCTGAGAATTTTTTCAGGAGCCGCCACTGGCTACCATACAGTTTGACCCGTATGTTCAATAAATCCAACGTATGCACCACACAGAATGTACTATAACTGCCTCTGCAACGCAATGCTGCAAGGCAAACGCAGCGTTCCATTGGAAATGAATGTACTTCTGGTGTACCAAACTCTGTCGGTGTGATCGAGGCGTTATAATGCAGTTTGTGTGCTGCAGTTATACTGCACTGACTGCAATCTTTTTTCAGGAAGAGATACGCTACCGTCCTGCTCCCATTCTGGCCAGTAGGTGGCAGAATATGTCAATTGAATTAGGTAAAACGTTATCGAAGAAGAGTCTTCCGGTTTGCTGTGTTGGTTCTAACTGTGTGTGCATCGACAAGGCTCTTTAACTTTCCTTTCAAGTAGTCACCATGCAGAACAAAAAGACCAAATCGACCTCCAAAATAAAAGGTACGTTTTGTTAACATGTGGAATATGAGAACGTCCGTCTTCGGTGAAGCTAGCGTAACGTTAACGTTACTATAAACTGTCAATCAGACAGCTAGCAAACTAGCTAGCTAGCCAGCTAACGTTAGCTAGCTAATCAAACCTACCAAATATGAATATTAATCTGTTATTATGCACTGATTTGCAGTGGGGAAGGTCGGTTCGAAAAACAAAGATGATGCACCCCATGAGCTTGAGAGTCAATTTGTACTGCGGCTGCCCACGGTAAGGAAACGGATGGAATTGAATAGAATGGGATGAGAGAAAATGTTTGGTTTTGTACATTTTTGAATAGTTGTCTTTCAAATTCACTCCACATGCTGAAACTTGTGAATATTGTATCATAATGAATGTGACCATGATTGATTAATTAATGGCAACCATAATTGATCCTCATACTGAAACACTCTTTTACCTGTATTTGACCTTTCTGTGCACCCATATATTGAAATAAAGGAAATCATACTTGACATGGCATAAACTGTTATGGAAATTGATGTGTATCTTGACTGCATGATCTCTGTCAAAGGAATATGCCTCAACAGTGAGATGTATTGCCCAGTCTAGCAGCATGAACCTCAAAGACAGACTCACCATTGAACTGCACGGTAGGTCTAATATGTATTGAGCCTTAATGTCTTCATAGTTTAAGTGTACCTTGTTGTTTTCATGGAATGGTCGTAACTGTTCACTCACAATATTACCATTTGCCGCAAAGGAAGTTGTTCACACTCTGTAATGTAAAAAGTTAGGCTTTGTAATTTGTGTAATTCAAATCAAGGATAAGGTAAAGTGGCCTCATTAATCATGCTGATGAAGCCACTTGAAACTAAAGTAGAGAGAACCTTGCTTAACCCTGTTGCTCATTTCATATTTTTTGGTTCAGAAGCAGTTATACCAGCATCACATCACAGAATGTCCATTCCTTCCCAAGAAAGCACCTATTGTCTATAACATAAGGGTGAAGTCCTAGAAGTAGGATAATTAGAACGGACATTCACATTCAAGGAAACCTTCTGTGATGTAGTCTAACTATTCTTCTATGTGTGAAATGACATCATATGATGTTCTGCAGCTGATGGTCGTCATGGCATCGTGAGAGTGGACCGAGTGCCCTTGGCGTGTAAACTGGTGGATCTTCCCTGCATCCTGGAATCTCTGAAAACAGTGGACAAGAAGACCTTCTATAAGACTGCTGACGTCTGTCAGGTAGGACAGGAAGGATGCTCTCATACAAGCACCATATAAGAGTAGGATGGTGTATAGGGTCTCCAGACCAGTTGTCAACGGCTGCAGTGTCTGCTCTAAGATTTAGACTGCCCTGTTTCTGTATGACATTTTAGTCATTTAGCAGATGCTCTTATCCAGAGCAACTTACAGGAGCAATTAGGGTTCAGTGCCTTGCTCAAGGGCACTTCGAGAGATTTTTCACGTAGTTGGCTCGGGGATTAGAACCAGGGATTATTGATAATGACCACATAGTGTTGGTTTATATATTTTCAAGCATTCTATAAGGTCGATTATTAATTGCTCTTTGACCCTGTTCTGTGTGGGGTAGATGCTGGTGTGCACATTGGATGGAGACCTCTATCCTCCCTTGGAGGAGCCCACCGGTACTGTAGACCCCAAGAAGAAGAAGGACAAAGACAAGGACAAGAAGTTTGTGTGGAACCATGGCAGTAAGTAGGCCTATATCCCCTCTGTATTGAAATATGCTGAGTGTAGCACTTTGTAGCCCATCTGCAGACTTAACTTCAAGCCTCAGCCAGTCTGCAAGTTTCCTTTTTGATGGCGCTGTTAACTTTAAATCATAATGTTTTTGGTCTCCAGTCACCTGTCCTCTAAAGAACACAAGGAAGAGAAGATTCAGGAAGACTGCAAAAAAGAAGGTACTGACATTTGTGTTTCCCCTTGAGCGCTCTCTCCCCTTCATCTTGTGAATATTTTCTTCAGACGATGCCGGGATCTCGTCCCAGGCCCTTTATTCAAACAACACATTTACATTTCATAAAAGCGGAACTGCAGCGGAAGTAAAAACTAAGATTTACATAAAAATAAAGGCCTTCCATCTTCATTTGCCCCAAAGGTATGCAAGAAAGCAATCTAACTCTCTGCTTTGATCCAAGTGACAGAGTGAGTTTGAGGAAGGATTCCTACTTTGTCTTTTGAATAAATCTTCTTTAAGGTGCAGCGCCATATCGGTTTGGCTTGCTGTTCTTAATCTTTAATGTGTTTGCTGGCACGTGGCCAGCCGTTCGCTCTGGGTGCAGTGTGTGTGCAGTAGTCTGGAGGCATGAAGTAAGTCTAACCTTATTTCCTCTGCAGTACATCGAGTCTCCCGACGTGGAGAAGGAGGTGAAGAGATTACTGAGCACGGACGCAGAGGCCGTTAGTGTCCGTATCTTTTTAGCTCACGTACTGGGGCAAACTCACACACACATCCTTCCACTCTTGCTCACGTCACACACACACACTCTGTCTCTAATGCTGCACCAAACCGTCACTAGGTATTGCAGTACCCCTTATACACGCACTGTAAATGAAACACAACATAGCCAATAGATGTTGACCAGCGGGAGCCTACTCTGCTCTGCTGGGCCTCACCTGAACTGACTCCTGCTAATGTCTTAATGTGAGACCTGCACCAACACCTTCCTCAATAAGCACTGTAATGAAATGATAAAGCAGCAGGAACTATTCACCAGGTCATTGGTGTAAATGAGAATGTTCTCAGTCAACTTACCTGGTGAAATAAGGGTTAAAAAAATAAGAGCACAGAACAGGGTACAGCATCAACATAGAAGTGCAGCCCCCTCAGTGTTGATTTAAGTGGACGCTGGTACATGTTAAAATGTCCTTGTAGGCCCATAGTGAAGCCAGTTTTAATAGCTGGAACATGACATAACTTAATGAAAGCAGTGAGGTAGTGTTTGGTGTACAGCGTTTCCCTAACCTGGTGTTCAGGCTGGGAGGTGATAGCCGAGGATGAGACCAAGGAGGCAGACAACCATGGCTCTCTGGCCAACCTGGACTCATCACCTGGGACATCAGGACACAAGATGGGGCATGGCTCCTCAGGTAAGCACCATGGAAGTGGGCAAAACTTAGTAATACTATAATATGTTCATTTAGCAGATGCGTTGGTTCCATACAGAGTGACTCACAGTTAACTTAATACATGTATTCAATATATGGACCATGTTGGAATGAGAGCCATAACTTTGATATTACAGGCTCCATGCTCCAACCACCTTAGTCATCGCATCCACACAGAAGTTAGGACATACAGTATGCCACTTAGCCTTTCACTGTCCCATCGCAGTACAGTAGGCCTTAGTTCAGGGTTTCCCAAACCTTTTTTGTGAATGATCTTCTGTGTAGAAAAGAACATCATCATTGATGTTCTTTTCCCCCCAGGCTGATTTAGTGCCTGGTCTTGCTCACTCTGTTCTAATGAGGCTTGTGGGCGTTGTAGAGGGAAACAGAAGACGCATACGTGTTCCTGAGAGTCTTATCTTTCAGTGATGGGGTCATAATATTCTGTTGCTTAAACTGTTCAAAAGATAGAGCCACATTTGTAGGAAGAAAACAGAAACCGCTCTGTTTATTACAACCACATCTAGCGACTACCGGAGATTTCTGACGTTACTGCGGGTCTATGAACCCAACGAGATTATTATAATTAATTTTTTCAGTTTCTCTCGCGACCCCTAGTTTGGGAAACGCTACTATATCTTGTTCTCCATCTTCTTTTTAAATAGTGAGCCAACATGTTTTCAGCACTTATTTCCCTCTGATTAAAACTTGTTTTCTCGTGCTCTCGTCTCTACAGCAGACATATAGAAAGTATTCACACACTTGAGTTTTCCCCACATTTTTTGTCACAGCCTGAATTTAAAATGGATTAAATTGGGATGTTTGTGTCACTGGCCTACACACAATACTCCATAATGTCAAAGTGGAATTATGTTTTTAGATTTTTTTAAACAAAATAATAAAAAATGGAAAGCTGAAATGTCTTGAGTCAATAATATTTTGTAGCTTAAAGCGGCAATCAGCAGTTGAAACGATAGTGTGATCCCCACCACTGTTTCACTAAAAAGCTGAGGGATGGGACAGGAGAAATGGAAACACTCTCAAATTCATAGACAGAGGTATGGTTGCAAAGACTGGCCATCCGTGATATCAAAATTATAGCTTTATCATGTTTTGAGGCTATACAGTATTTGTTTACATTTTATTTACAAACAATAGAGTAAAACAAGCTTGTATTTGGGGTTCTGATGGGGTACAACAGTTGAACTAAGCTCATGAGGCATTTATAAATTATATTCTTCAAGAATCAGTGGGTACATATCATTCAAGTCTGAAATGTATGTAGCTACTGCATGTTGTCCCTTTAAACCGTTAAGAAGATAGAGCCACATTTGTAGGAAGAAAACAGAAGCCACTCTTTTTATTAGAACCGCATCTAGCGGCTACCGGAGGTTATTGACGTTACCGTGGTTTTATGAATCAAGCGCAATTTTTCTCGCGATCCCATTTTCAAATCACATGGGGTCGCGACCCCTGGTTTGGGAAAAGCTGCCTTGGTGTTTCTATAGCTGTCCTACTGGGAAGACTGTGTTTTGTTGGTGAGGAGTGGTAGCAGTAAGAAGACTGAAAAAATACATTTTTCCTTCCAGCCCAACGTGACGAGCTGAGGGAGATCTTCAACGACATCAGCAGCAGCAGTGACGATGAGGAGGACGAGGGGGACCTTCGCCATGAGGACGAGGACCTGAACATCATGGACATGGAGGAAGACCTGGTTAGACAACTCCAAGACAAAGCCCGGGACGAGGCAGACAGGAACAACCAGATAGGTGAGGCCAGAGGGAGGGACAAGAGGGAATGAAATAGGGGAGGAAAGAGGGGTGGTGGAGAGAGACTAGGAAGTATGGAAAGAGTGGGGGGGGGTGGAAAGTTCGGGCGAGTTTGTTTTGCATCGCCGGGAGCGTTGGTGGGGTGGTTGAAGATGGCAGTCATAGATATTAAGAGGTTGGTATACCATCCCCATATTGGCACAACATATTCCTTGGCATATTCCTTGTCATTTCTATCCTAAGTGGAGTGTGATTGTTTTGTAATTGGTATCAACATGGCGCCTGTCTACGGTATTGGAGTAGCAGCCAATGTGGGAAGAGAATGAGAGCAGCCATTCTATTCATTATATTTCTATGTAGCAGACAGCTAACATTCACCTCAGGCATTTAGCCTGGTCTTATATTCACTTTAAATTGACCTATTGCACACTTTAAAACCCAAAGTAATCTGTCAAGCTGAATCCCATGACATGGGTTGTGTAGATCCATCTATATGCCTCAATCCCCAAATGAATGGAAAAGATAAGCACCCACTAAAATCAGGAAATTGATGCCTGGGTTCTGTATGTGGAGGAGGGACATCTCAATAGTCTCACAACGTTGCGTCTTATCTTTTTTTGGTACTCTTTTTTTATATACTCACTGAACAAAAATCTAAAGTGTTGGTCCCATGTTTCATGAGCTGAAATAAATAAAAGATCCCAGAAATGTTCCATATGCACAAAAATATTATTTCTCTCAAATGTTGTGCACAAATTGGTTTACATTCCTGTTAGTGGGCATTTCTCCTTTGCCAAGATGATATGCCACACCTGTCAGGTGGATGAATTAAGAAGCTGATTAAACAGCATGATCATTACACAGGTGCACCTTGTGCTGGGGACAATAAAAGGCCACTGTAAAATGTGCAGTTTTGTCACACAACACAATGCCACAGATGTCTCAAGTTGAGGGAGCGTGCATGTGGCATGCTGACTGCAGGAATGTCCACCAGAGCTGTTGCCAGAGAATGTAATGTTCATTTCTCTAGCATAAGCCACCTCCCACGCCGTTTTAGAGAATTTGGCACTACGTCCAACCGGCCTCACAACCGCAGACCATGTGTATGGTGTCGTGTGGGCGAATGGTTTGCTGATGTCAACGTTGTGAACAGAGTGCCCCATGGTGGGGTTATGGTATGGGCAGGCATAAGCTACGGACAACAAACACAATTGCGTTTCGATGGCAATTTGAATGCACAGAAATACCGTGACGAGATCCTGTGACCAACAGATGCATATCTGTATTCCCAGTCATGTGAAATCCATAGATTAGGGCCTAATGAATTTATTTCAATTGACTGATTTCCTCATATGAACTGTAACGCAGTAAAATCTTTAATTATTGCATGTTGCGTTTATATTTTTGTTCATTATATATTTTTTACAATACAAAACATTCACATACAAATGCAACATATAGACGCACACAAACATCCACAACATTACCCCTGCCCAGACCCACCTGCTCACACTCCAGTCTCCAACGCCCGTATCACACTCCGCCACATGGCCTCAAACTGCACCATTTTGTTTCTCTCTGTCGCCCACGCACTTAACATTTAGATAATAAAGCATTTGGACCTTTTCATTGTGTTAACGATGGATGATTGGTTGATTTCCAGTTTTTAAGTATACGTTTTTTCAAGATGATTGACGAGAAAAGTATCGTCCATCCCATCGGATATCTCACTACACCCCCATATGCCATGTCTTGAAATAGGCAGACAGACGGATTAAAAGTACAATTACATTGTAATACTTCTGACAGCCAACTTTCTAACTCCGCCCATAACTTTTGGACTTTATAGCATTCCCAGAAGGCATGGATTATTGAGTCATTGTTAGTTTTACACTTAAGAAGACATGACTCTGCCTTTGTGCTGTAGAATTTGTTAATATTTTCTCTTGTATAATAAATTCTATACGTCAGTTTATACTGGATTAAGCGTATATTTTTGTTAACTGTAATTTTGTTAGTTATGTTCCAACATTCCCTCCATCTTGTGCCAATATCAGTTCTTTTTAAGTCTTGGTTCCAGTAGTTAATATATTTTTTTAAGAGATTGTCAGTTGGATAGGCTCTCTGCAAAGTTTAGTATATCTTCCCTATCATATATCCTTTTCTGACTCAGATAGGGCTCCATCAAGATTACGGTGATGTCCAAAAGATTTCAAATCGACATTTCTTGATATGAAACTTTTAAGTTGCATGTATTTGAAAATATTTACATTGGTCAGTCCAAAATTGCTTTTTAATTCTGTCATGGAAATAAATGTATTTCCTATTACCAAGTAATTTACGGTTTCTGTGCCTTTTTATTTTTCTGGACCAATTTATCTGTGAATTCTGAAAAGCTATCCAAGGTTTGTTCCATAAGGTTGTGTTTTTAGGGAGTGATATTGGTTCTTGTAGAATACGTTTAATTTTCTTCCATATTGTTATTGTGTTCTTAAATATAAATAATGTTCTTAGCTTTATCCTTAGAAAACAGACAAGTTAAAAGATTCTGGGGATGAACATGCACATCTTCAATATGTACCCATGTTCTCCTTTAGTGCATTTAACTATGTCGCAAGTAAAAGCCCTGGGTGGCCTCTTCTCAATGTCTCCTTTTCATTATTCACACTCATATTAAATAGGTTTGGGTGGAAGAAAGAAGCATGTCCTCTGTGTATTCTGATCAGTGCAGGTCAAAGAGAGGAAGCCCTGGTTGGTTTATTCAATTAAAATGGGCCTGTAGCAAATGGCTGGTCTTGGTGTTGCTGTGTGTGGAAGAGTCAGTGTTTTGAATCTCCATACAAGTTGCCTCCTTTCAAGTTTTCCTTTCCCTGCTTCCTACGTATCTTAAATGATGCATGGCCTGTGGTAGGCGTCCAGCATATTATTTTCACTCTATGTAGGTTAAAGGAATAATCCACTCAAAAACTATCTTTCTGTGTTTTATTCATTAGTCCACTGTTGATACGGTCCCAAAATGTTTTGCATGTCAGCAATCAAGTTTAAGATATATGACTTTCAAAAAGCAAATTGTAACTTCAACTTTGGGACTAATGAAAAAAATACCAAAAAATAGTTGTATTTATTTTATTATTCCTTTAAAGAGTGGAGACGGAGAGAAATGCACTTGATACTATGGAGATATTGAATAGTCTGTGTGTTTTGTGAGGGAAGATGTAAATGGTTCCTCTGTCTGCTCCTGTAGTGATGGATTACCAGATGCAGATAGACGGTGTGAAGGTCAAGCTGAAGGAGACGCGCGCCCGCAAGAAACAACAGGAGGACCTCATCATGAAGGTGGAGAACCAGGCCCTGAAGGTGAATTATAGATACATACAACTTTGACATGGCGTTTTAATTAATTTAGCAGAATGAGACGACCACAAAGACTGATTCATAAATAAGGCCTTCAAAAACAAGTCTTAGGAGACTCATATTCACACCCACACACTCTCTTTCAATCAAACACACACACCGACACACTCTCTCTCACACACACACCGAGGCAACCTTGGAGGGAGAAGTCTTTATGTGGAATATAACCCCTCTAAACGACTGAGTGTAAAACTTCCCAAACTCAGACCGCATAAAGAAGGTATAAATATTACATTTCCGCCATCAGCCCTTTGGGGAAAAAAACATAAAAAATCATTGTTCCGCCAACTGCTCTTCGGGGACAGATTTACAACGTGTGAGACACGGGTGGACTTTTTTTTTTACCATGTCGTTTCAGCTCTGTGCTCGGCTGGCCGGGCCTGGCTGAGATCTTCTATCTTTCACCATTATTATCACAGCCACAGGAAAAGGTCACGGGCGTCTAACTGGCATTCCAAATGGCCTTTCTGTCAGATGGAAGATACGCTCTCTACGAACGGCGGCACGCTCAAATTTCAAACATCAAAACAAGCTAAGGGAACTGTCTACTGACTGAACTAATTTTTTTCTCGTCTCTTTTGCAGAACCGCTTTCAGGCTCTGCTCAATGAAATTATCCATCAGGAGGAGCGAGAGATGGAGCAGGTAACGTTGTCTGAGGAAGACGGGAAGGGACATTTTAAAACTACTGCATCCGTTTATGAGCTCTTGTTGGTTATGAGTTATAAATGTAGTGAATGATTTTCTTTGGTATTAAGCAGCATTTGCTATAAAGGAATGTAAAGGTGCAACTAAGGTGCTTGAATTAGAGAGACAAATAAACCAAAACATGTTTGTTTATAAGAACTGCCATTGTCTTCCTCTAGCGACTGAACATCCCTACACATCCAACTTTTAGAATGATAAGGGTAGTCTTTATATCCGACATCCAAGCTAATTGTTTGACTCGATCTTAATCAACCTTCATTTGAATTGTCAAGAACACATGATCTGAGTATCTGTATCAAGTTGTCTGTCTTCACATCAGCTTGGTTTGTTGTTTGTATTGACAAATGAATAATGTCGGAAGATGTGTTAATCATCCACTTAGCCTACCAATTACACCCAGGCGTTCGACATCAACCAATCTCTGCTCCATCTCTGCTCCAACAGCTGTCCTCGCTTCAGGAGCAGCTGGACTCGCTGATCGAAAAGTGACCCAAGTGACCACCAGGGGGCAGCCAAGTGTCAAATAGGCGCCGTGAGAGCCACTGGGGAAGAGCGAAGAAGCATCTGCGCCCTCTGACAGAGCCATCCTCAGTGACATGCTGTATCATTCCATTATACATTTTCCCTTTAGCCTCCAGACATCATGACATCACTTGTTGGAGGATTCGTGTTATTTTTGTATTGTTCTTATTTTATTTCTGGGATGTTGTCGTGTTAGTAGGATTATAGAATGAGTGTTTTCTGTCTGCTACTCCGTATGAATAAACCCTTTGTTTAACCATTCAATCGTGTCTGTGTTTGACATTTCCTAGTGACACTGTCTCACTTCATCTGAGTCTGACCATACCTATTACAGACTAAGTCATCAATCCCTGTTGACTAAACAGTGGTCTCCCATATCCTCTCGGATTACCCTCCTACCTTCTAGAAAGATTTTCTTCCACTGTGATCTCTCTCTGCCTCGCCCTCTCATGTTCCTCTGGTCACCCGCCTCCTCGACTTCTTACAGGGGATTATTCTGAGGATTGGGGGTGGGGTGGTAGGGGAGGGATTAGCACACCCAGATTGAAGTGGCCATCTCCAAAACCCTGGTAATCCAGCCATCTGTCAGAGAGCAGGAGGGATGCCCCGGGCTGCAGCAGGACGCCAACACAAACAATCCCGCCTCACTAGGCTAATTAGGGAGAGCAGAAGAGCGAGAGGAGAAAGTCGCACACCCTCCACTGCTTTTCCCCCAGAGCCTGCAATGTAGCCCCATAGTATGAACTACACCTTTATACCTTCTGACAGTTTAGAGAAAATGAGGTTTGGTCCCAAAATGGAGGAGACGAACAGTTGAAGTCGGAAGTTTACATACACCTTAGCCAAATACATTTAAACCCAGTTTTTCCCATTCCTGACATTTAATCTTAGTAAAAATTCCCTGTCTTGGGTCAGTTAGGATCACCACTTTATTTTAAGAATGTGAAATGTCAGAATAATAGTAGAGATAATTATCTATGTCAGCTTTTATTTATTTCATCACATTCCCAGTGGTTCAGAAGTTTACATACACTCAATTAGTATTTGGTAGCATTGCCTTTAAATTGTTTAACTTTGGTCAAATGTTTCGGGTAGCCTTCCACAAGCTTCCCACAATAAATTGGGTGAATTTTGGCCCATTCCTCCTGACAGAGCTGGTGTAACTGAGTCAGGTTTGTAGGCCTCCTTGCTCGCACACGCTTTTTCAGTTCTGCCAACAAATGTTCAATAGGATTGAGGTCAGGGCTTTTTGATGGCCACTGCAGTACCTTGACTTTGTTGTCCTTAAACCATTTTGCCACAACTTTGGAAGTATGTTTGGGGTCATTGTCCATTTGGAAGACCCATTTGCGACCAAGCTTTAACTTCCTGACTGATGTCTTGAGATGTTGCTTCAATATATCCACATAATTTTCCTTCCTCATGATGCCTACTATTTTGTGAAGTGCACCAGTCCTTCCGGCAGCAAAGCACCCCCACAGCATGATGCTGCCACCCCCGTGCTTCATGGTTGGGATGGTGTTCTTCGGCTTGCAAGCAACCCCTTCTTCCTCCAAACATAACGATGGTCATTATGGGCAAACAGTTCTATTTTTGTTTCATCAGACCAGAGGACATTTCTCCAAAAAGTACGATCTTTGTCCCCATGTGCAGTTGCAAACCGTAGTCTGGCTTTTTTATGGCGGTTTTGGAGCAGCGGCTTCTTCCTTGCTGAGCGGCCTTTCAGGTTATGTCGATATAGGACTTGTTTTACTGTGGATATAGATACTTTTGTACCGGTTTCCTCCAGCATCTTCACAAGGTCCTTTGCTGTTGTTCTGGGATTGATTTGCACTTTTCACACCAAAGTACGTTCATCTCTAAGAGACAGAACACGTCTCCTTCGTGAGCGGTATGACGGCTGCGTGGTCCCATGTTGTTTATACTTGCATACTATTGTTTGTACAGATGAACGGGGTACCTTCAGGCGTTTGGAAATTGCTCCCAAGGATGAAACAGACCTGTGGAGGTCTACAATTTGTTTTCTGAGGTCTTGGCTGATTTCTTTTGATTTTCCCATGATGTCAAGCAAAGAGGCACTGAGTTTGAAGGTAGGCCTTGAAATACATCCACAGGTACACCTCCAATTGACTCAAATGATGTCAATTAGCCTATCAGAAGCTTCTAAAGCCATGACATCATTTTCTGGAATTTTCCAAGCTGTTTAAAGGCACAGTCAACATAGTGTATGTAAACGTCTGACCCACTGGAATTGTGATACAGTGAATTATAAGTGAAATAATCTGTCTGTAAGCAATTGTTGGAAAAATTACTTGTGTCATGCTCAAAGTAGACTTGCCAAAACTATAGTTTGTTAACAATACATTTGTGGAGTGGTTGAAAAAGTGTATGTAAACTTCCGACTTCAACTGTACCTACTGAACTACCAAGAAGAACATTCTGGCTGGAGGGACTGGCCCAATGCCCCATTTAACACCGGGGACCAAGGTAAGACATAAATAACACCCTCAGACACGACACAGTGTGCATCCATGATGGCATTGATTCCTTATATAGGGCAATACTTTTGACCAGGGCCCGCATATAGGGATTTGGTCAAAGTTAGTGTCCTACAGTGAGGGAAAAAAGTATTTGATCCCCTGCTGATTTTGTACGTTTTCCCACTGACAAAGAAATGATCAATCTATAATTTTAATGGTAGGTTTATTTGAACGGTGAGAGACAGAATAACAACAACAAAAATACAGAAAAACGCATGTCAAAAATGTTATAAATTGATTTGCATTTTAATGAGGGAAATAAGTATTTGACCCCCTCTCAATCAGAAAGATTTCTGGCTCCCAGGTGTCTTTTATACAGGTAACGAGCTGAGATTAGGAGCACACTCTTAAAGGGAGTGCTCCTAATCTCAGTTTGTTACCTGTATAAAAGACACCTGTCCACAGAAGCAATCAATCAATCAGATTCCAAACTCTCCACCATGGCCAAGACCAAAGAGCTCTCCAAGGATGTCAGGGACAAGATTGTAGACCTACACAAGGCTGGAATGGGCTACAAGACCATCGCCAAGCAGCTTGGTGAGAAGGTGACAACAGTTGGTGCGATTATTCGAAAATGGAAGAAACACAAAAGAACTGTCAATCTCCCTCGGCCTGGGGCTCCATGCAAGATCTCACCTCGTGGAGTTGCAATGATCATGAGAACGGAGGAATCAGCCCTGAACTACACGGGAGGATATTGTCAATGATCTCAAGGCAGCTGGGACCATAGTCACCAAGAAAACAATTGGTAACACACTACGCCGTGAAGGACTGAAATCCTGCAGCGCCCGCAAGGTCCTCATGCTCAAGAAAGCACATATACAGGGCCGTCTGAAGTTTGCCAATGAACATCTGAATGATTCAGAGGAGAACTGGGTGAAAGTGTTGTGGTCAGATGAGACCAATATCAAGCTCTTTGGCATCAACTCAACTCGCCGTGTTTGGAGGAGGAGGAATGCTGCCTATGACCCCAAGAACACCATCCCCACCGTCAAACATGGAGGTGGAAACATTATACTTTGGGGGTGTTTTTCTGCTAAGGGGACAGGACAACTTCACCGCATCAAAGGGACGATGGACGGCGCCATGTACCGTCAAATATTGGGTGAGAACCTCCTTCCCTCAGCCAGGGCATTGAAAATGGGTCGTGGATGGGTATTCCAGCATGACAATGACCCAAAACACACGGCCAAGGCAACAAAGGAGTGGCTCAAGAAGAAGCACATTAAGGTCCTGGAGTGGCCTAGCCAGTCTCTAGACCTTAATCCCATAGGAAATCTGTGGAGGGAGCTGAAGGTTTGAGTTGCCAAACATCAGCCTCAAAACCTTAATGACTTGGAGAAGATCTGCAAAGAGGAGTGGGACAAAATCCCTCCTGAGATGTGTGCAAACCTGGTGGCCAACTACAAGAAACGTCTGACCTCTGTGATTGCCAACAAGGGTTTTGCCCTAAGTACTAAGTCATACTTATTTCCCTCATTAAAATGAAAATCAATTTATAACATTTTTGACAATTATAGACTGATCATGTTTTTGTCAGTGGGCAAATGTACAAAATCAGCAGGGGATCAAATACTTTTTTCCTTCACTGTATATACTATAGGGAATCTGTTGCCATTTCAGAAAGCGCTGAACTCCTGATATGCCTAGGGTTTAATGTGTGGAGGAAATGATGCAATGTCTAATTAGCATTGTGTAGTAATTAATACTTCACAGACCGATATATATTTTTAGAGAGCATTGTATCTCTCTGCCCACCTCAATTAGACTCTATTGAATAATTAATGCGAGGGGTTCAAATATTCTGTAACTTGGTGTAACACACCACGCGAACATTTGGTCAACACAATTGCTACACAGCGTATTGGCATTGGTGGAGTTTGAACAGTGGTGGATCAGTGTGTTAGTGAACAGGCTTTGTGGTACTGATCTATGGCTGATGACATCCCCTAACCACACACACACACACACCCCACCTCACCACATCTAGCCATATGGCCCCGGGCCTGGAGTCCAAGGATGACAAACATTTTCCGGGCCAATGCCAACATGAATATCTGGCCCGTTCCCCAATTGTGTTCTGTGTTGCTCCCATTCTGTCGAGGAGCTTCCCACTCGGCTCCACACAGTTCCAACCAACACAGCATACAAATGACTCACATTAAAGAGAGCAAAATCGGTTGGGGCCATAGCATTCCAAATACATACAGACAGAGTTGAGCAGAGGGTCAGCCAGAGTCCACACACACTCCATCACATAAACACACCCCAAATGACACTGTGTGTGTTACGTGCGTATGTGTGTGTGTGTGTGTTGACAGTGGCACACTCTGGAACATATGACAACAGCCTCCTCTGCTCTGCCACTTAATCCCCACTCTCTACCCCCCCCCCCCCCCCCCCCCCCTTCCTCCCCCCCTCCCTCCAAGCTGGTGTTCCACTTCCAGATGCTGTTGGAGAACTTTGAGCGCACAGTGATTGACGACAGTCATAAAACCAAAGTGCTGGCAGAGATTTTTGTGGGGAAGATGTTCAAGATGGAGGTGTGGGAGACGCTGCTGACCTACATGCGGATCGGAGAGGTGGCTGAGTTCTGGAGCGACGCCGTTGTGAGTCCAGCGACCGTTCAATCAAATACACACACATAATGTACATTGACTGCCACACACAGGCACACACAGACACACACACTTTCCCCTACCCGAGGCAAAACAGAGGCCAGAGTCAGGAGAGGCAGGGACCCCAAATTGTCTGGTAATTAGTGTTCACTGGAATGGGGGAGGAAGTTGCTCCTCTCCTCATTCTTATGCAGATGAAGCAGCCTCCGGTGGCCACCTACACGCTCTATTAAAAACGGAAAAAGAGAAATATTTTTGTGCGCCTCAATTTCTCTATTTCTCTCTCCTTCTGGAGAGACAAAGAGTAGGAAGTATTTGCAAGTCAAATGAGGCTATTGATTGTGGTTTGTTAGTTTAGGGCCGCTGGTTCAGCAACCAGCAGGGGTGAGGTGAGTCATATCAATGTTGGTGTGTTTGTGTCTCAAGTCAACTCACATTTTATTTGTCACATGCTTCGTAAACAACAGGTGTAGACTAACAGTGAAATAGTTAATTACGAGTCCTTTTCCAACAATGCAGAGTTAAAGACAAAGATAAAACATAAAAATTTAAATAGTGACATGAGGAATAAATAGTCAAAATAACATGGCTACAGTATAAACAAGGAGTACCAGTACAGAGTGGATGTGCAGGGGTATGAGGTAATAACATGGCTACAGTATAAACAGGGAGTACCAGTACAGAGTGGGTGTGCAGGGGTACGAGGTAATAACATGGCTACAGTATAAACAGGGAGTACCAGTACAGAGTGGGTGTGCAGGGGTACGAGGTAATAACATGGCTACAGTATAAACAGGGAGTACCAGTACAGAGTGGATGTGCAGGGGTACGAGGTAATAACATGGCTACAGTATAAACAGGGAGTACCAGTACAGAGTGGATGTGCAGGGGTACGAGGTAATAACATGGCTACAGTATAAACAGGGAGTACCAGTACAGAGTGGATGTGCAGGGGTACGAGGTAATAACATGGCTACAGTATAAACAGGGAGTACCCGTACAGAGTGGATGTGCAGGGGTACGAGGTAATAACATGGCTACAGTATAAACAAGGAGTACCAGTACAGAGTGGATGTGCAGGGGTACCAGGTAATAACATGGCTACAGTATTAACAGGGAGTACCAGTACAGAGTGGATGTGCAGGGGTACCAGGTAATTGAGGTAGCTTTGTATATATAGGTAGGGGTAAAGTTACTAGGCAACAGGATAGATAATAGACAGTAGCAGCAGCGTATGTAGTGTGTGTGAATGTGTGTGTGTGGCGTCAGCATGCATGTGTGCGCGTGTTACGTGTGTGTGGGTGTATGTAGTGTATGTGTGTGTTGGAGTGTCAGTGGAAGCATGTGTGAGTGTGTGGGTGGAGTCCAGTGTGTGGGTGGTCCAGTGTGTGGGTGGCGTCCAGTGTGTGGGTGTCAGTGCAAGAGAGTTAGTGCAAAAAAGGGTCAATGCAGGTAGTCCGGGTAACCATTTGATTAGCTATTTATCAGTCTTGTTTAGCAGTCTTATGGCTTGGGGGTAGAAGCTGTTCAGGGTCCTGTTGGTTCCAGACTTGGTGCATCGGTACCGCCTGCCGTGCGTGGCTGGAGTGGCTGGGCCTACCTCTGACACCGCCTTGTACTACCACTCTATTTGAGTCATAACAGTGTTGTGGTGTGTGCTTTTGTTCGTGTCTCTGACTAATCAAGTTTCAAGTTTTAATGTCACGTGCACAAGTACAGTGAAATGCCTTTCTTGCAAACTCTAAACCCAACAATGCAGTAATCAATATCAATGTAGCACTAAAGACAACAAGGTAGAACAAAAACACACAATAAATGAAAATAAGAAATAAGAAGAACAGGAGAAAGTAAGAAGCTATATACAGGGTCTGTTCCAATACCATATTTACAATGTGCAGGGATACTGGAGTGATAGAAGTAGATATGTATAGGGGTAAGGTGACTAGGCATCAGGATATATGATAAACAGAGTAGCAGCAGCATAAATAATGATTGTATGTGAATGTGTGTGTGTAGAGTCAGTATAAATGTGTGTGCTGTTGTGCCTTCTTCACGACTGTGCGCCTGTGAGTGGACCATTTTAAGTCCTTAGTGATTTGGACACTGAGGAACTTGAAGCTCTCGAACCGTCCATGATCAGCTCCTTGGTCTTACTGACATTGAGGGAGTGGTTGTTGTCCCGGCACCACACTGCCAGGTCACTGACCTCCTCCCTGTAGTGTTCGTATCACTGACTATTTGAGTCACAGTGGTGTTGTGTCTTTTCTTGTCTCAGCACACAGGCTTGTACCCCATAGTGTCCAAGGGGATGAGGCTGATTGCCCAGGGTAAGGACCCACTGGAGGGCCAGAGACACACGTGTGGCATGGGGAACATGTTCCACTACAACACTACTGGCTGGCCTGATCTTCATTATGGAGCTCAATCAGCTAACTTTCAGTAGGTGGCATTATCATTATAATGGCTAATGGATACAAGGTGTCGAAAGCGTTCCACAGGGATGCTGGCCCATGTTGACTCCAATGCTTCCAATGTCAAGTTGGCTGGATGTCCTTCGGGTGGTGGACCATTCTTGATACACACAGGAAACTGTTGCGTGTGAAACACCCAGCAGCATTGCCGTTCTTGACTCAAACTGGTGCGCCTGGCACCTACTACCAAACCCCATTCAAAGGCGCTTAAATCTATTGTCCATTCACCCTTTGAATGGTACACACACACAATCCATGTCTCAATTGTCTCAAGGCTTAAAAATCCTTCTTTAACCTGTCTCCCCCCCTTCATCTACAATGATTGAAGTGGATTTAACAAGTGACATCAATAAGGGATCATAGCTTTCACCTGGATTCACCTGGTCAGTCTATGTCATGGAAAGAGCAGGTGTTCTTAATGTTTTGTATACTCAGTGTTCAGCTATGGTTTGGGGAAGGGTTAAAGGGAAAGGAGAGAAGAGGGGTTGAATGCATTGCACACAACACACACAGGTTTAATATGTAGTACACATCAACACAACTCCACAAACACACACACACACCCGTGATAATTGGCACATCCCATTAGCAGTACACCCCCATCTATTTACTGAAACATATCTAAACACATACAGCAACACACCTCCACACACACACACACACACACACACACACTGCTGCCGCTCACACACTTCTGTCCAAACGAACACATCTCTGTGCCAATACATACACCTCCAGACAACCATTCCGACCCGTTACATTATAAGCCGACTCCAAACACCAAACAGCCTTTTCTCTCTGTCTCCAACAAACAACATCTCATCCTGCCTCAACCACTCAGCTCATAAACAAAACGGGTTATGCAACCAGCTGCTAACCACCAGGGGTACAGGCGGAGGCAATAACAACATCCTGGATCCTTGGGATGTCATTACCCCATTTAAAATGATTAAGATTAAGGTTAGGGTAGAGAGGTGCCAAGGATCCTGAATACCACTAACCCACATTCAATCCTCAGCCAAGTAAAGCTGGGTTGTGTTCAGTAGGCACCAAAAATAAGAAAACTAGGAGGGACTAAAAGGTCTTGTCCAATAAGAAATGCTAATTTTCGTTTTCAGTTACAAAACGTTTTGCTACCGTGTGGGTTATTGAACTAGACCCTGGATGACTTTTTCATTGGTTCTGCCTGTCGCCCCTGTTCTCCCCAGATGGGAGAACCTTTCTCCTACAAGCGGGATTTGGAGATAATGGACAAGGATGAGAAGAGGAGGGAATTTTCACACATTTTCTGCTTGATGCAGGGATTAGCACTGTGCTGCCTTCTGAGTTTGTCTCCATAATCCATATGGAGTCCCCATTCTGACATGCACTATATAGCTCAGTACCCTATGAATAATACTGAACCCTGAGACAGTCCATAGAGGCTGCCTTGTCTTGTCTTCACTCTCTGTTCCACTGCATTGACTTATAGCGATGGCTCTGTGTGTCTGTGTGTGTGTGTGTGTGTGTCTGTGTGTGTGTGTGTGAGAGAGAGAGAGAGAAATGGTGCAATTCCTCCCAGCCCCTTCTGGTTCCTAGTGCCATCCTCCCTCTCCTCTCCTCTCCTCTCCTCTCCTCTCCTCTCCTCTCCTCTCCTCTCCTCTCCTCTCCTCTCCTCTCCTCTCCTCTCCTCTCCTCTCCTCTCCTCTCCTCTCCTCTCCTCTCCTCTCCTCTCCTCTCCTCTCCTCTCCTCTCCTCTCCTCTCCTCTCCTCTCCTCTCCTCTCCTCTCCTCTCCTCTCCCCCTTTGCCGTCTCTCTCCCCTCCCCTCCTCGTGTCATCATTACCTTCTTGTCTCTATCACTTCCTATCTGCCATCCACCTCTCCTGAGCATCCCCTTCTTCCCTCCTTGCCTCCATCTGGGGAGACATCTTCTTTCTGAGAGGGACTCTGAATCGGTGGAGGCTCTCCGTGGAGCACTGGCTCTGTTATTGCCAGAGGCTATGAAGAAATCTATTTAAATGCAGGCAGAATTAAAGATTTAGAGGGGAGTGGGGATGAAATGAAGAGGAGAGGAGAGGAGAGCCATCAATTGGGATCTAAACCAAGCACTCCAGTCCACTCCTCTCCACTCCTCAGAGAGACAGGATTAGGTGGTGTTTCTGAGACAGGGGGCCTGAGTCAGAAGGCCACTCAGTTTCTTTCTCAGTCTCTCTCTCTTTTATATTTCTCTCTTTTTTCTTTCTCTCTCTCTAACTCCTCAGGTCTCTCACACACAAACTCTAGATAGTAGTGAATATTGATGAATATTTCCATCTTATACCTTAATAACATCTCTTTGTCTCTCTCTCTCCCCTTCTCTCTCTCCACGCTTCCATCTCCCCTCTCCCCCTGTCCTACAGACTGTGTTAAGGCCTACTATAAGATGGCTAAAAGGCGATGTATGGTCAATCCATCATCTGCACTGGCCATGCAACATTTACAGTGATACGGCCTCTGCAGAAGTCAGGGCATTCATACTTCTTGCGCGTTGTGTAGCAGATCAGAACTGTTGAGCAGAGCGTTTGTGAAGGAAGTTGTCAAGGAAGTTAGTTTGTGTTTATACAGGACTCCCCCCCCCCCACCCACCTATCTTCAACCAATCATGTCAATGCGGAGCTATACAGAGCCCTCCACACTGCTACAAAATTTGGTAGGTGCAGGATATGCGGTACAGAGCTCGATTTGGCCTCTGCATGCCTCTGACCACATTTCCAGATTAAGCATAAATTGGCTTTAATGCCACACTTCTCACTTTCACACGCCACACCTGTTATATCTCACCCATTGGAAAGTACTGCTTTTATTTTTCTAATTAGCCCATTTTATAGTGCGTGAACTTTCAACTGTGCTCCAAATCGTTTTGAAATAGAAGCATCTGTGACCGCAATTTAACATCACGCGCGGAACCTCTATCATTGTCCTGTCTTGCCACACACTGTGAATCGCGGCACATTGAAGCATATGATTGGTCTAGTTATGTAAGGGCTCAAGAAGATTGGATGCGTTTTTTAAAGAAACGCTGCTCAAGATTAGAGTGGAGCTGAATAGAGAGAGAACGTTCTCCACTGAGATTATACAACTGTAAAAAGAGCAGCACGGTAGCGCTGTTTTATGTACAATGTTGTCAACAAAATTAGGTCGCTGTTACTCCCGTCCCTATTGCAGAATGCAACATTTTGACAGCATGTACTAAAGTCGATTTAATCCACACTTGCATTAGTCCCTTTGTTTGGAAATTGGCTTTTAGGCTGTGACAACGAAAAGGCAGCACATACCTACAGTATGTTTTAGCAGGGAAGTTTGGTAGTGACCTGATTGGTAAATATCAAAACCATTTTGTCAAACAGATTGTGAACCAAAAAGTGTACGTTTGATTCTAGAGGGGGTACAATAAATATACAAATAATTTGGTTAAGTGTATGGGGAAGATTTATGTCATCTTGTTTTCAGGAGATTTTATTATCAATTTATTTTATTTAGTCTGATCAGTTGAACAATTCTCATTCTTAACAATGGGCTAAAATGAAGGATAATTACTGTGCTTGTCAGCAAGGACACTCCTGTTATTCCCTACACAAACAGTCTTTTATTATTCCACTTCTTCCCAATGTTGCCAGTGTAATCACAGATTTGAAATCTGATAGGCCTACTTGTGTCTTTGAAAATGAATTATATGAGGCTATGTATTTTTGCAGCCATTCATGGACAGTTTTGAATAACTCATACAAATAAGCATTGGATATTAAATGCTCCAGGCCTTGAATATAATTTTTGACATTTTAGTATTGTGCACATGCTAAGCAGAGATGGTACGGGGACTTACAACTCATAAACAGTTCATATTTTGTCTATTTTTATTTTTATTTTTATTTATTTAACCTTTATTTAACCAGGTAAGCCAGTTGAGAACAAGTTCTCATTTACAACTGCGACCTGGCCAAGATAAAGCAAAGCAGTGCGATAAAAACAACAACACAGAGTTACATATGGGGTAAAACAAAACATAAAGTCAAAAATACAACAGAAAATATATATACAGTGTGTGCAAATGTAGCAAGTTATGGAGGTAAGGCAATAAATAGGCTATAGTGCAAAATAATTACAATTAGTATTAACACTGGAATGATAGATTTGCAAGAGATGATGTGCAAATAGAGATACTGGGGTGCAAATGAGCAAAATAAATAGCAATATAGGGATGAGGTAGTTGGGTGGGCTAATTACAGATGGGCTGTGTACAGGTGCAGTGATCGGTAAGGTGCTCTGACAACTGATGCTTAAAGTTAGTGAGGGAGATAAGAGTCTCCAGCTTCAGAGATTTTTTCAATTCGTTCCAGTCATTGGCAGCAGAGAACTGGAAGGAATGGTGGCCAAAGGAGGTGTTGGCTTTGGGGACGACCAGTGAGATATACCTGCTGGAGCGCATACTACGGGTGGGTGTTGCTATGGTGACCAATGAGCTAAGATAAGGCAGGGATTTGCCTAGCAGTGATTTATAGATGGCCTGGAGCCAGTGGGTTTGGCGACGAATATGTAGTGAGGACCAGCCAACAAGAGCGTACAGGTCACAGTGGTGGGTAGTGTATGGGGCTTTGGAGACAAAACGGATGGCACTGTGATAGACTACATCCAATTTGCTGAGTAGAGTGTTGGAGGCTATTTTGTAAATGACATCGCCGAAGTCAAGGATCGGTAGGATAGTCAGTTTTACGAGGGCATGTTTAGCAGTATGAGTGAAGGAGGCTTTGTTGCGAAATAGGAATCCGATTCTAGATTTAACTTTAGATTGGAGATTCTTAATGTGAGTCTGGAAGGAGAGTTTACAGTCTAACCAGACACCTAGGTATTTGTAGTTGTCCACATACTCTAGGTCAGACCCGTCGAGAGTAGTGATTCTAGTCGGGTGGGCGGGTGCCAGCAGCGTTCGATTGAAGAGCATGCATTTAGTTTTACTAGTGTTTAAGAGCAGTTTCCTAGCCTCAGTGCAGTGGGCAGCTGGGAGGAAGTGCTCTTATTCTCCATGGACTTTACAGTGTCCCAAAACTTTTTGGAGTTAGTGCTACAGGATGCAAATTTCTGTTTGAAAAAGTTAGCCTTTGCTTTCCTAACTGCTTGTGTAAATTGGTTCCTAACTTCCCTGAAAAGTTGCATATCGCGAGGGCTATTTGATGCTAATGTAGTACGCCACAGGATGTTTTTGTGCTGGTCAAGGGCAGTCAAGTCTGAGGAGAACCAGGGGCTATATCTATTCTTAGTTCTGTATTTTTTTAATGGGGCATGTTTATTTAAGATTGAGAGGAAATTACTTTTAAAGAACAACCAGGCCAGTCTATGTATGATGATGGCAAAGATCTTCAACTAGTTGGCATAAACCACCTGAATATTGATATTCATTAGATTTTTCTTGAAGGTTGGGTGATTTTGAGAAATTAATTGTTAGAACAAGAACATTTTCAAACACCCATCACTTGGGAAACATAACTCAGGGGTGGCCAAACCCTTCAGGAAAGGAAGCAGGATTTTCTTCCAGACCTATTTTAAAGAGATACAGTAGTTCACCAAAATTACAAAATACAAAATGTTTGTGTCCTTACCTTGAAAGCAGTCTATGGACAAGAAGACTGCAATCTATGATTTGGTTACCCACTGCTATTAATACTATAATAGTATTTCCTTTGCAGAGCATTCCCACTGACCTTCCCACTGTTTCTCCATTTGCCTGTCTCCCTATCCCATTTCATTACTGTCTGAATAGTGTCAAACCACCTAAAAATACATGTAAAAAAATATTAGCATTCTTAGAATGTAATCCCCCCAAAATCTCAAAGTAACAATGTCATCGAATTTTGAGTGTTCATTAAATGTTCAAAGCATTCTGAATACACCTGACCTGCGTTTTTTCCCCCACCCTGGTCATAGGCCTAAGCCATGTCAAAATACATAGAATTGCAGGAAATGAGCTTTAAAACAGTACAATTTTCCTCCCCCAGACCCCGTCTAGGCAAAATCTCACTGCAAGCTTTCTTCAAAAGTTCTCAGTCCTGCCCATGCTGCAGTGTGGAACAAGAAGGAAGCCAAGAAAAACTTCCACATGGTGGCCAACCTGGACCATCTGGTACACAGGGAAGTCAGGAACCAATATACACAATCAGTTAGGAAAGCAAAGGCTAGCTTTTTCAAACTTTTCAAATTTGCATCCTGTAGCACTAACTCCAAAAAGTTTTGGGACACTGTAAAGTCCATGGAGAATAAGAGCACCTCCTCCCAGCTGCCCACTGCACTGAGGCTAGGAAACACTGTCACCACTGATAAATCTACGATAATTGAGAATTTCAACAAGCATTTTGCTACGGCTGGCCATGCTTTCCACCTGGCTACCCCTACCCCGGCCACCAGCTCTGCACCCTCCGCTGCAACTTGCCCATGCCCCCCCCCCCCCGCTTCTCCTTCACACAAATTCAGACAGCTGATGTTCTGAAAGAGCTGCAAAATCTGGACCCCTACAAATCAACTGGGCTAGACAATCTGGACCCTTTCTTTCTAAAATTATCCGCCAAAATTGTCGCAACCCGTATTACTAGCCTGTTCAACCTCTCTTTCGTATCGTCTGAGATCCCCAGAGATTGGAAAGCTGCCGCGGTCATCCCCCTCTTCAAAGGGGGTGACACTCTAGATTCAAACTGTTACAGACCTATATCCATCCTGCCCTGCCTTTCGAAAGTATTTGAAAGCCAAGTTAACAAACAGATCACCAACCACTTCGAATCCCACCGTACCTTCTCCGCTATGCAATCGGGTTTCCGAGCTGGTCATGGGTGCACCTCAGCCACGCTCAAGGTCCTAAACTATATTATAACCGCGATTGATAAAAGACAGTACTGTGCAGCCGTCTTCATCGACCTGACCAAGGCTTTCGACTCTGTCAATCACCACATTCTTATTGGCAGACTAAATAACCTTGGTTTCTCAAATGACTGCCTCGCCTGGTTCACCAACTACTTCTCAGATAGAGTTCAATGTGTCAAATCGGAGGGCCTGTTGTCTGGACCTCTGGCAGTCTCTATGGAGGGGCCACAGGGTTCAATTCTCGGGCCGACTCTATTCTCTGTATATATCAATGATGTCGCTCTTGCTGCTGGTGACTCTCAGATCCACCTCTACGCAGATGACACCATTTTGTATAAATCTGGCCCTTCATTGGACACTGTGTTAACAAACCTCCAAACGAGCTTCAATGTCATACAACACTCCTTCCGTAGCCTCCAACTGCTCTTAAACGCTAGTAAAACTAAATGCATGCTCTTCAATCGAACGCTGCTTGCACCCGCCCGCCCGACTAGAATCACTACTCTTGGCGGGTCTGACTTAGAATATGTGGACAACTACAAATACCTAGGTGTCTGGTTAGACCGTAAACTCTCCTTCCAGACTCACATTAAGCATCTCCAATCCAAAGTTACATCTAGAATCGGCTTCCTATTTCGCAGCAAAGCCTCCTTCACTTATGCTGCCAAACATGCCCTCGTAAAACTGACTATCCTACCGATCCTTGACTTCGGCGATGTCATTTACAAAATAGCCTCCAACACTCTACTCAGCAAATTGGATGTAGTCTATCACAGTGCCATCCGTTTTGTCACCAAAGCCCCATATACTACCCACCATTGTGACCTGTACGATCTCGTTGGCTGGCCCTCACTACATATTCATCGCCAAACCCACTGGCTCCAGGTCATCTATAAATCACTGCTAGTCAAATCCCCGCCTTATCTTAGCTCATTGGTCACCATAGCAACACCCACCCGTAGTATGCGCTCCAGCAGGTATATCTCACTGGTCATCCCCAAAGCCAACACCTCCTTTGGCCGTCATTCCTTCCAGTTTTCTGCTGCCAATGACTGGAACGAACTGCAAAAATCTCTGAAGCAGGAGACTCTTATCTCCCTCACTAACTTTAAGCATCAGTTGTCAGAGCAGCTTACCGATCACTGCACCTGTACACAGCCCATCTGTAATTAGCCCACCCAACTACCTCATCCCCATATTGTTATTTATTTTGCTCATTTGCACCCCAGTATCTCTATTTGCACATCATCTTCTGCACATCTATCATTCCAGTGTTAATACTAAATTGTAATTATTTTGCACTATGGCCTATTTATTGCCTTACCTCCATAACTTGCTACATTTGCACACAGTGTATATAGATTTTCTATTGTGTTATTGACTGTATGTTTTGTTTTATCCCATGTGTAACTGTGTTGTTGTTTTTATCGCACTGCTTTGCTTTATCTTGGCCAGGTCGCAGTTGTAAATGAGAACTTGTTCTCAACTGGCTAACCTGGTTAAATAAAGGTTAAATAAATAAAAATAAACACAAAGAGCTGAGGGCCTTCGCTGATAGAATGAGGAGAAGGATAAATACTGGAACTGCCTGGAGCAGGAGGAAGAGGGGAAGAAAGGGGAGGAAGAGGAAGAAGAGAAAGAGGATGGAGCGCAGGATGAGAGCAAGGAGACCGAGGTGAAAAAGGATTGTAACGAGGGGTGAAACAGCCATTTCAGCTACAGCGAAAGATAAGGCTACAGTGAAGGATGAAACAGCCAATAAGAAGGCTGAGAGCAGTCCGGAAACTCAATCAGAGACCAATCAGAGCTCTCCGTCCGTGGGAGAGGGGATGGACTGGCAGCAGAAGTTAAGACACATCATGTTCCTGCAAAAGGAGGGTAACGTCCTGCTTACAGAGAAATACAGCGAGGCCACGGGAAAGTCAAAGAGGCTCTGGAGTATGTGGACTTCATTCAGAACAAGGTAAGTGTCCATTAATTGGCAAGTTCATTCAGTGGTGCGTTATTTCATTCAGTGGTCAGTTCATTCAGTGGTATTTTCATTCAGTGATGTGTTCTTCCAATGTTGTGTCCATTAAGTGGAATGTCCATTTATTCATTGGTCTGTTCACTCAGGGTAAGGTCTTCATTCAGTGTGAAACAACCAATTAATCTAGTCATAGAACTGATAATACACTTGAAATAAGTATTTAGAGATAAAATAATGATTCATTAGAATGACAGGCTGAAAAACAAAAGAAAATGTTCTTATGAAACGGTTAAGAATGATGATGACAATACATAAAGGCAATATGTTTTTGTTGGGTAATGTTTCTGTTTTGGATCATCTTTTGAATATACAACTGCCAACTTTGGAATGTTGACGTTTTTGGGGTCATTGTTTGAGCAGTCAGCAAGTGCCCTAAGATGACTCCTCTAAGTGATCTGTTCATGCCATCTCACAAGCTCTAATCAAGTTCCAATGTTGCCACTCCACTGAAGAGAGAAGAGCAACGCTATGGGGTTGTAGGTACACTGGCAGAACAGAACAGGAACAGGGAGAGGAGCGACGTAGCTAAAAATAACAGAGACCCTTGGAGATTTAGAGTGAGCGCTCGCCCAGGCATCTCTTACTCTCTGTCACCCTCCTCCCTCCCACTTTTTATTTCTCTCCCCCTCGCTCTTTTTCTCTCTGTCATTCCTTCTCCATTTTCTCCCTGTATCTCTCTCCACCCCCCTCCCTCCCGTCATCAATATATTTGCCTCTCCTTCCCTCTTTCCATCTCTGTATATCTCCCGAGTGGCGCAGTGGTCTAAGGCACTGCATCGCAGTGCTAGCTGTGCCACTAGAGATCCTGGTTCGAATCCAGGCTCTGTCATAGCCGGCCGCGACCGGGAGACCCATGGGGCGGCGCACAATTGGCCCAGGGTAGGGGAGGGAATGGCCGGCAGGGATGTAGCTCAGTTGGTAGAGCATGGCGTTTGCAACGCCAGGGTTGTGGGTTCGATTCCCACAGGGGGCCAGTATGAAAAAAATAATAATGTATGCACTCACTAACTGTAAGTCGCTCTGGATAAGAGCGTCTGCTGAATGACTAAATGGGAGAAGGAGAGAAAACATGGACCCTTTCTATGTTCAGCCTGTTACGCTAGAGATATATTTTTGTTTGCATGGGCTGCGTCTCAATCCACCACATCCGCCTATGTTGCCCTTCCGCATCTGCGGTGGAAAGTGGCCGAGCTACAGCGTTGTTTGTCAGACCAGGAGAAATCCCGAAAATCGTTCCTCTTACGAAAACATCTGTAGCCTCCGAACGGTTTGGCCTTAAAAAACGAATATGACCACTGTAGAATGGGGAGACTCTCACGAACAGGATGGTGTTCCCCGTTTTGCTTTACGACCCCATTGTAGGACTCGTCTGAAGTCGATAACGCGTTTGTGCCAACTTCTGTCTGTAGTGTCCGAACCGTTTGGACTACAAACTAATATGACCCCATTGTAGAAAGGGGAGATGGGTTCTCTGTTTTGCTCTATGACCCCCCACAAGTGTCACTGGACTCATCTAAATGTAACCCATACAAATGAATGGAAGTATGGAGGTAGTTTTATGCCAACAAAAATAAGAGTTTAAATGTGTAAAAAAACAAAGATATCTCCTGAGCTTTCTTATATCTCTTAGATATAGGATAGACACTTCAAAACCTTATTCAATATGATTTATTTTTTGACTGTCTTTTTTGCCATTAATGAGTGTGTTATTCAATGTGTTTCTATGTGCTATAGTAGTAAAGGCAATATTCAATATTTTATCAAATCATTTTTAAATATAATTATTTTATACCTAAAGGGTTCCTAAAATTACAATAAAATAGATAAATGATCCATGGTATGACCTTCTTAAAAAAATTCCATATGTCATCTTAGAACCCAACAGCTTAGACTTAGCAAATGTATTGAAATACAGAAATATCTCATTTACATAAGTATTCACACCGCTGAGTCAATACATGTTAGAATCACCTTTGGCAGTGATTACAGCTGTGAGTCTTTCTGGGTAAGTCTCTAAGACTATACCCATAACATGATCCAGCCACAACCATGCTTGAAAGTATGAAGTGGGGCTCAATGATGTGTTGTGTTGGATTTGCCCCAAATACAACGCTTTGTATTCAGGACATACATTTTTTGCAGTTTTACTTTAAAGCAGCTTAGACTTTTAAGAAACAACCTCTGTTTGGAGCTGAATGCTCTACATCTGTAGTACAAACACTTGGCCTTGAGTGGACCTTGTCCTGATGTTGCTCCCAGACTTGATTTTTCCATCTTTCTCTCTCCCTTTGTTCTGGAAGTTGCCAAACACACTTGCATCATTCCCTTCTAAAGACAACAGTAAAGAGTGAAATTCATTGTTTCCTTTTTTACCTGAATTATTTATCTCGGAGTGGATGTGATATGGGTTTACTGATCATACCCTTCTCCTTCACACTCTCTCTGTTCTCTCACTCCCTTTGTATTTTTCTTCTCTCTATTCCTATTTTACCCACTTTCTGGGTCTGTCGCTCCTTTGCTCACTCTCTAACTATACATATTTTACTCTCTCTCCCCCTCTCTCTTCTAATATCCCTCTATCTCTTATTCTCTCTAACTCATTTCTCTCTTCCTCCTCCCTGCTTCTTCTCCTCTCTCAATGTCCCTTCTTACTTTTTTTCTGTCCATTCTCTCTTCCTCTTTCCTTTACAAATATCTTCCTCTACTGTATCCTCTATCTCTCCCTCCTCTACCCCTCCCTCCTCTACCTCTCCCATCTCTCTCTGTAGATAACTTCAAGGCAGTGTACCAGCAGGCTAGGGCCCACTTGGCTCTGTGCAACGAGCAGGAGGCCAGGAAGGACTTCCAGAAGGTGGAGCATCTGGAGCCCAAGTTCAAGCCCACCGTCAATCAGGAAAATAAGAGGCTGGATGAGAACCTCCGGAACAAGCACGTCAGCAATAACAAGAACAACTGGGAAGCTACAGTGGAAAAGTGGGGCCCCGAGTTAGAAAAAGTAAAGAAGCCAATTAAGTTTCAAGAGGAGGAAAAAGGACCGGAGGGGAGTGTTAAGAAAGAAGGAGAAGCAGACCCGACTATAAAATAGGGAGGTAGTGATGGAGTGAGAGAGGAGAAGAAGCAAGAGGGAAAAGGAGAGGAGGGGAGTGTGAAGACAGCAGCCACTGCTGAGAAAGAGGGAGGTAGTGGGGGAGTGAAAAAGGAGAAGGCTAGTGGGAAGAGAAGAGAGTGTAGAGGTAGAGAGAGATGGACAGGCGGGGGTAGATAACAGAGCAAGAGACAGCTTTGATGCAGAGATAATGTAGCTACAGAGAGGTCAGGGAAGGCTGTGATAAAGGCCAAATGTCAATCAACTGCCGCCCATGAAGTAACCAAGGGAAGCACAGGGAACAAAGGCACCAATGAGACAAGAAGCAGTACAATTCAATCAGAATCGACCAATAGGAGTCCATTAACCACCTCTGACCTCCCTAACCGGCAGGCCACAGAGGTACTTTCAGAGGTAGCTGAGGAGAGAGTCAGGTTAGACACACAGATGGTCAGACCTAACAAAGGAGAGGCAGAGGAAAGCAAAATGGATAAAGGGAGAAAAACAGAGGGAGAGTTCTGATGTACAGCTGTGTCCATCAGAGGGGGGTGAGCAATACCAAGCCTGGGGTCTTGACTGGAAATATCGATCCCTCCGCCAAGTCCAAGCGTAAACACAAGAAAAATAAGTGAAACATACACAGGCATTGATATGATCATGACATATCATGTGGTGATTCTCATAATTCAATTCAGCGTCATAATTGGTGGTATACACACAAGACAAGCAGACATTGTGTCCAACAAATACAAATTTTATTTATTATTTGTACACAAAGAGTAGAAAGCAGCCAGTAACCCACTCGTTATTAAAAAGCCTTTCTTTCTCAAACGTTTTATACAGATTAAAAACCAACGGGGAGGACAGCAATAGGGAGGAATGTCAGTACAGTACACAATTAAATAAATAAATGACAGACACATTAGTCATAAACAAATCGACAAGTAATGAGGCGTAGTAACGTTGATTAAAAAAGACAGACCTCGGATCGGCAGTAAAATAGAAATGACGAGTCTGTGTTTTGCGGTGGTGGGGCGTCTGTCTGTTTGGTAGGATAGGCTAGTGTATGTTGTCATAGCTCTGATTAACCCTGAGGTTAAGTGATTAATGGCCCTGCCGTGTTAGAGAACACCAACAACCCTCGCTGTGTCTCGTAACGATGCCAAATGCACAGACCTCAGGGTGCACAGAAGGTCTCGCCATTAGGAATAATGAGAGTGCTCAATAACGGGTTGACCCACTACATATAGCAGGGGCACAGCCATACCCGTTGGCCATGTCCTCTAAACTGTGTCTGTCTCGATCTGTCTCCGGCGACTAGCACTTCTACTCAATCACGCCGAAGATGGTCGGACTGGTTTCCAGCGTGAGGTCGCGCTACGGGGAGCCCGGGACACCACTTGTAGAGCTCCACAGTGGTTCTATCTAGAACATTAGACGCCTCAGATGGATAATCACATGACTACAGAGAGACGTGACGTGGGCAGTATAACATAGTGTTCTTACAGAGGCTTCACTTTGATGGGCTACAACCAAGTCTCATTACAAAGACAGTATGGACTTCTGGGAGTTAGAGTAAGAGGGGTACAGTGAAGAGCTACAGTTCTGCTGCACTGCTACCAGAAGAATACATATAGTTATGTCAGTCTGCCAAACTACCTGCTACAGTGGTGTAATCATTCATTCCACCTACTCTCTCCTACCACCACTATTGTCCAAAACACACAACCCATTTACAGTGCCTTCAGAAAGTATTCATACCCCTTGACTTATTCCACATTTTGTTGTGTTACAGCCTGAATTAAAAAAGGATTACATTATATATTTTTTTCTTCTGACCCATCTACTCACAATACCCCATAATGACAAAGTGAAAACATGTTTTTAGAAATGTTAGCAAATGTATTGAAAATGAAATACAGAAATATCTTATTTACATAAATATTCACACCGCTGAGTCAATACATGTTAGAATCACCTTTGGCAGTGATTACAGCTTTGAGTCTTTCTGGGTAAGTTTCTAAGACTATACCCATAACATGATCCAGCCACAACCATGCTTGAAAGTATGAAGTGGGGCTCAGTGATGTGTTGTGTTGGATTTGCCCCAAACACAACGCTTCGTATTCAGGACATACATTTTTTGCAGTTTTACTTTAGTGCCTTATTGCAAACAGGTTGCATGTTTTGGAATATTTTTATTCTGTACAGGCTTCCTTCTTTTCACTCTGTCATTTAGGTTAGTATTGTGGAGTAATTACAATGTTATTGAGCCATCCTCAGTTTTCACCTATCACAGACAATAAACTCTGTAACTGTTTTAAAGTCACCATTGGCCTAATGGTGAAATCCCTGAGCGGTTTCCTTCCTCTCCGGCAATTGAGTTAGGAAGGACGCCTGTATCTTTGTAGTGACTGGGTGTATTGATACACCATCCAAAGTGTAATTAATAACTTCACCATGCCCAAAATAATATTCATTGCCTACTTTTTAAAATGTTTACCCATCTACCATTAGGTGCCCTTCTTTGCGAGGCATTGGAAAACCTCCCTGGTCTTTGTGGTTGAATCTGTGTTTGAAATTCACTGCTCGACTGTGGGACCTTACAGATAATTTTTTGTTTGGGGTACAGAGATGAGGTAGTCATTCCAAATTCTGGTTATACACTACTATTGCACATGGAGTGAGTCCATGCAACTTATTATGTGACTTGTTAAGCACATTTTTACTCCTGAACTTATTTAGGCTTGCCATAACAAAGGGGTTGAATACTTATTGACTCAAGACATTTACGCTTTTCATTTTTAATTAATTTGTAAACATTTCTAAATAAAAAATAATTCCACTTTGACATTATGGGGTATTGTGTGTAGGCCAGTGACACAAAATCTCAATCTATTTTAAATTAAGGCTGTAACACAACACAATGTGGAAAAAGGCAAGGGTGAATACTCTCTGAAGGCACATACTGTAGGTCTACATGACATATGGTTTCCAGGCCTAATCGCTGTAGTTCATTATTTCACAGAGAGAGAGAGCGTTGTGATGCATTCACAGCTGAATATATTCAGAGCCACAACTGTGTTCAGGGGGCTCATCAATGTGTAATGAGATGTGTGTTTACATTTTAAAAACATGAAAGAAGTTTCCAAAAAGTAAACATTATTTGAGTTGCGTGTTTTTTTCATTCGAGCACTTCTTTGTTCCTGGATCCTGTTAAGAAGGAATGCCGGTGCACGTCAGCCCTTGGCAAAGGTAGAACAGATGTCAATGATAAAAACTATCTATGCCAGTTAAACACTAAACACTGGCAGGCATTGTTCAGCAGGGGTGGTTAAGGAGGGATCGGGGGATAAGGGGGCTGAGGTATGGAAACGAGGCGCCCTCACTTCCCCATATGGTTATTATCATTTCCATTATGAATGGCGCCCCACCTTGCCGACTCGCAACCTGTACAGGGTACAGCTCCCTAGCAACGGCAGCAAAACAAACAGACAGCCGCGGCCGAACTCGATGATGTCAAATGTGAACGCTGGCGCCTGGAGGGGATAAAGTCTAACGAATACCGGGATAGGATTCAAACTGAAATCTGTTCTTGGCAATAAGGTCAGAATGTTCTCCCAATGAATATAAACTATTCACATCATGGCTCCCTGCGACTGTGGGTGTAATAACTTTAGGGAAGTGGTACCTCATAAAAAACAGAGCATCTGTCCTCTTTTCTTCTAGCAAACCGCTCGCCTCCTGTCTGTGTCCGCCTCTTTCTGGAGATTTGCTGTGGCAAGCACATCAAAGTGGATCGCTCCTCTCCACTCAGCCCAGGAGCGCTAAACAGACTATTTTCCTCTCAGATCTCCCCTCCTCAGAACCTCCCTTCCACTTCTCTTTCACATTCTCACCATCCTCCCTCCACCCCGCCAAAGCCCTATTTGACCCCAGCCTTTTTATTTAGTCTCTCAGGTGCTAGGCCGCTCTAGCGCTGTCAATTCCCACTGTCTTCCCTGTCCTTACTCATAAAGGCTCTCTGATGCCTCCAATGCAAAATGCCACAGAACCCAGACCCCTAAACAGAGCTAGCATCTGACGTTGAATGACATCCACATCCACCCACAACACCCCACTGATGCAATTTCCTCCTCTGATTGTGAAAACACTGAGAGAATAAAAAAGGCCTTTTGTGAGCCAGTACTTTAACATCTGATACACAAATGGACACAAGCATGAAAAGAGAAAAGAAGAGAGGGAAAGAGGGAGAAAGAGGGAGGAGAGAGAGAAGAGAGAGAGAGAGAGCGCCAGGGCCAACTCCATTTAATAATGTTTGAGGCAGCAACATGAAACACACGTATTGGTGCGTGTTGGGCTCTGTCTGGGTTTAAGGCAAATAGACTGTGCTCTGTCTGGAGTGTCATGTGATCCTGGTGTGATGGTAGCCCAGCCTCGAGCTCCTACTATCATAGGCATGTGTGTACCCCTGAAAGGTTTAAGCAATATGGTGAACATTCCACCCAGCAGAGGGAAAAGTGAAGTTATTAGCATATTGCTTATCTGATCATTTCAGATGAAGTGCCATGTGTAAGGGGCTAGGGGTTGATTTGAAATTGGGCCGCAGTGTGGAGGAGGTGGTGCCCCTCCCTAGCCCCCTTAGTGTCCTTAGAGGAGGGGGGGAGCCTAGCAGCTCTGGACGCAGCGGAAGCTAGAGCCCATAGTCGAGGGCCTGGTGTTTAACACTAGACGCTTTCTCAGCTAAACACACTGAGCCACGGTACAAATTGGCGTTGTCTCGAGACTCTTCTCCTGAACAGAGAGACGCAAAATCACAGCCCATCTTCACTGATTTCTTTTCGCAAAAGTTTGTGGATGTGAGTGTAAGCGTATGTGCGTTTGTAGGTGTTTATCGTTGTGTATTCCTATGTGATATGAATGTCGATATGAATCTGAGTGAGTATGAGTATGTGTGTTAGTACAGCATGAGAGCTCATCTGAAACAACGTGTGTCTGCGTGCGTGTGATATGTGCACTCACTGTGACAGAGAGATGGGAGCCACGCGAGAGAGACGACAGGCATCTCAGTTTGGGAAGATTAGAGGAACTGTGTGCACAGAAGCAGCGCTGCCTGCGCTGGCGGGCACTTTGGCTGTCTTAAATAAATCATAGGGTTTTACTGATGATGTGTCAGTCCCACAGAGTCAATAAGCTTGTTGTGGGTCCCGCTGGCTCCCCGGCAATCTGCTCTGCTTTGCTCTGGGTACGCCTGCCCCAGCCGCCTGAGCACAGCCGCATGAAACGCAGCCAGCCTGGCCCAAATCAAGTCAATGCTGGTGCGCATGATCGCCCCGTAAAAAAAAGGAAGTTTGAAACGCATTAGAAAACAGGAAAAACACAAACGCACCCAGTTACTGGACAGAACAAACATGATGGAAATCCTCAGTCCTTTTTGTGGAAGGTCCTTGTGCTGTATGGATATAAAGCGTCACACCTTCGGACGACTACGCAGACGCTGGATAGCACAGTGTCTTGGCTGG